AGATCATTCCTTCGCCCGGATCACTGTGCACGTGTCATGCTGTTTCTCGTGCATGACAGATGATGGAGGAGTCTGCAGGATCCGACCTCTGTGTAACCTCCGTGTCAGGGTGTTCACCCCCCAGAAATAATACGATAGTCCATCAAAGTCGAGGTAATTTAGCCTGAAACCCTCATGGAGGAGGCAGATTTCGGCCTCTGAAGTGTGGATGACAGACGCGGTGGGCTGCCAGCGTAATCCGTCTCTTTCTGTGTAAATAAGATAAATAAACTGAACAAACTGTCCTCTCTTTTGCTGCTTTATATACTAACTGACCAGGATTAACAGCCCGCCAAAGCAATTGACCTCACCTTTACTGGGCGAGCAAACAAAATGTGCCGACTTCGTGTCTCTTCAGGCTTCGTAATTTTCTCCACTAGAAGTGAAAGAAGTGTCCTCAAATTGCCCACTTAGCTCAGCTGTAAAGATCAAATGACTTTACAGCATGGTGCAGGGTTTCTGGGTCAGGTGCTATAACATCTTATATTACATCTCTGTTTATTCCTGCCCGTCAAGAAGAAGGGAATTTTGCACTCCTGTTGGGCTCTCATATTAGTTATTACTGTGAGCTCTTTGTTTGGCTCCCTGCAGACGGTGCAAACACTGAGCCTATGAAATATGACTGAGTTTCCTCCTGCACAGTCCGTCATATTCAGCGCAACACAACCTGCCTGTTTGACTGACAGGCTGCTACTCAAAATCAACACATCCTGCTGAATAAGCAAACACAGAAACAAATCTGATAAAATATGCATGCATGACTTTCTTTTACAGCTATCGCATGGCATTGTTAGCGCTCTAACAGCTCAATCGGAGCTCCAGCGGGCTTATCAAACACTGTTGTGTAACCTAAGTAAGTGTCATCTTGAACTGTGTTTTGGATGAAAGCAGCAAAGACAAGACATACTGGATGAATCGCAGTTATACAAGAGGGGTTTTTTTTGGTTTTTTAATAATCCAGTGTACAAAAATCATAATTTCTCAACAGAGCACCAAGTCCTGAGAGTGTGTGTGTGTGTGTGTGTGTGTGTGTGTCCCTCTTCGGTGATCAAATGAAAGACAGCGTGCTCTGGTAACAGCTTGTTCCCACCATTACCTCAGACAATCATCACATCCAAACACCTCCGAGGGAACCAGCAGCAGCCCGATACTCGCACATCACAGCCCAGGAAAAAAAAAAAAAGTCTGCTCGTGTCTCGCATCTGTGCAAGAACACCAAAGCTGTTAATGTTAAAAAAAAGGAAATAAAAATAAAAAAAAAAGATGAATCCATTATGAAACCTCTCGGTAAGGTTTTAATCTAGTAAGAGGCACATTTTTAAGAAACACAACAAAGTGATTCATAAAAGACAGAATGGGTGAGTGTTGCCTTAATAACGGAGACTTATTGCTCCCAGTTCAAACAAGATATGACTATGAGCTATAGAGGTGCTGGGAGAAGGTGGATTTTATTACCTTTGGACAGAGCCTGGCTGGCTGATTTTAAATTTATTTATTTTTTTATCAAATTCAAAGCTGCACTAGTCAATAACTTTATATTAACAATGAATCCGATGATGATGTGTGACACTAAAGGGGTCAGTTACAGTGAAAAAAAACAGAAATAGTACAAAACAAACCATTTCATTGAATAAAAATCAAAGTGGATCTAGTTCTCAGATACAGCCACGACTGGAGGAAAGGGTCATTTTTTTATGTTTGGATTAAACAGACGACACATCTTGAACCAAACAGGTGCTGTTGAAGGTATTTTACTGTATTACTTGTGTTTACAGATAATTCTGCAAACCTTAAAGGACCCACAAAAAAAGTAAATGTACCACATTTTTATTTTTTTTCCCCTTTTGATCATTTTTGGTGTTTTTCTTGGAAGAATCCTCGATCGGTTAAGAAACGCTGTAAGACTGAGCAGGTCGGAGAGTAATTGAAACATCTGGAGCTCCTGTGTTCAATGACGTGAAGAATTTGAAGGACGGAGGCGAATTGCTCGGGGGCCTTGAGCTTTAGTTTCATCTTTAGAAGAGGGGGAGAGTTGCTGGCTGAGTCAAGACCAAGGTCAGAAAGTCCCGACATAACACCTCCAATGAATAAGAGTCACGGCAGAAATGATTCAAGCAGATGTTTGGTACAAAAGAGAAACGGCCTCAGCTGCAATACGGCAAAAATAACAAGATTTTCTCCGCAGAAAATAAGATTTACACACGTCTACAACAGAGTAACTCACACAAACAAATAACTTTTCAGATGGCTATAATAAAATGTGGCCATTATTCTAAATCACATGTGAGGTCGGAGGAATATGGTGACGTGAAATGTGCTTTTAATTCCCCTAATTTGCCAGTAGACCCCATTACTGGGAATCACCATTCTTCAGTGTGAACAGTTGGACTCAGTAATGAATGATAGAACTAATAAGGAGCACAATTCTCCCCCATAAATCCCTTTCGGGCTCAGGTTAATGGATTCGGCGGTGTCATAGCAACCAGTGATAAAGTCTGCATTGAGAGAACATGTGAGAGATCCGGCAGCGATAGCGGCAATATTTATTTATTTATTTTACTTTTTCTGAATTCGGTGCCAGCCATTCAGTTCCTCGCACACATCACACTTAATCTCGGATGTGATTGACACCGTGAACACTACGTTATGCAACATGTTCTTTATAAGAGTTCGCATCATTTTAATGCAACAAAGCACACGTTAGAACCTATAGGCATCCGTTGAGTGAAAATAAACTTGAATTAAATCACTGTAATGAAAACAGAGATGCAAAACTGTGACGTGTTTGTTAAGAATGCAGGAATAGATCGCTTGCTGCTGCCTTCTCAGACTCCCAGTCACTTTGCAGTAATTACAAAGACACGTTTCTCTTTGTTGTTGTGTGTTACGAGCGAGTGGCAACGGCCGCAGCTTGAAACGGAAGCCACACGTTTAGGTGTATTGCTATTGAGAATCCAATAAATCTCCTATTCAAAACAGCATCGACTTCTCTTGGTAAATACTCATCTTCTTCTGCAAGTCACTAATTCCACAATTACACAGATATAGGACCTGAAAGAGCGGGATGTTTGGTGGCATTCGTGGCTTGATTGACAGGCCTGATCTGAAATGACTGGCAGGTTGTTTGGATGTTCTGATTCAGATACAAAGACTGGAGGTGATACATTTGCAATCGTCAGTTTCAGTATTCGTTCACTGTATTTACGGCTTGCTCTTCTATTATTTAACAGACAACAAGTGATTCTGATATCCTTTTTTTTTTTAAATATTGGTTTCCAGGTGGGCTGCAAGGTGGCGCAGTTGGTAGCACTGTTGCCTCGCAGCAAGAAGATTGCTGGTTCGCGTCCCGGTGGGGGCACCGGAATCTTTCTGCGTGGAGTTTGCATGTTCTCCCCGTGCAGCGTGGGTTCTCTCCAGGTTCTCCAGCTTCCTCCCACACAGTCCAAAAACATGTTGAGGTTAATTGGTGATTCTAAATTCAATAGGTGTGAATGTGAGTGTGCTTGGTTGTCTGTCTCTAAGTGTGGCCCTGTGATAGACTGGTGACCTGTCCAGGTGAACCTGCCTTTGCCCTAAGTCAGCTGAGATAGGCTCCAGCCCCCCGCGACCCTCGTGAGGATTAAGTGGTGTATAGATTATGGATGGATGGATGGGTGGTTTCCAGTTTTAGTGCACTTTTTGTGTTCAGCAGAATGTGTACAATGCACCGTGTCTGTTAGGCAACATGTCAACGATGCTGTATGCATTAGCTTCAAGGTATACATCAGAGAGAGTCAGTTCCTGTTGACTGCAGCACAGTCGTGCATGAAACAGTTGCACAATCCACATCATGACTCTATTTTTGTGACCATTTGCACGTCGACTTTCACGTCGAGGATCATCGGAGTTTGGTGTGAGGCTACAGAACTGAGACCAAACAGGAGCACGCTCTTTGTTTTGCTTGATTTTTAGAGTTCAGAGAGTGACTGTGGACGGGACTGCGTCCCCCATTAATGTCTCCAAGGGTATAACCGTCAACGGCAAACTGTAACTGCAACGTCTGACAGACAACAATCAGTGCAAACAACCTGAACCGTTGTGTAGTTGGATGCTCCGTCACGACAAAGTGTCTGCTCACATTGAAAACTCAGCACAATCAATGTTCTTTAACCACAGATTTGGCTCCTGACAACTTGCACCACAGCTTCACCTAATCAGTGTGTTAGTGACCGATTTCCCATTATTATCCTGTAAACACCAACATCCTCCTAATGGAATTTTTATTTATATATGAAGAAATATTTCATTTTGAAAATTGTATATATATATGTATATCTGAATTGTCACATGTCCAATTCATTGTTTTTGTTTTGTCATTAATTTGCGCTCTAAAACCACCAAACGTGCCTAATTTTAACCAAACTTGAATGTCACTTTAATCCCCAATCATGCAGATTACATTCTGTTGTGGTGCGACAGCAACAGCAGAATTTTAAAATGTCTATTTCTGTAAAAAGACCCAGTTTCAAAATAAACCCTCTAACAACAAACTCCACACTGATAGAGATGATTTATCACTTTTTTCCTCGTCATATCTGCAAAAGGGCGCTCGGTCAGCATATTGCAAGTCACAGTTAAAGGTCAAAATGTTGTTTTTCAGTAAACATAGACATTTGTGTTGGTTGATCCTGGCTCCAGCTCCAGACAGAAAAAATACCACAATCATCTGCCTGAAATGTTTTCTTTACAGCACACAAAGAAGTCTCAGTAAAATCACCTCTATGCCCCTTCTCTTTTTTTTTCTTCGTTCTTTCTTACTCCTCTTGATTTGCATGTGCTTCTGATTGGCTGCTGTAAGTTAAAGCTGGAGCTGCTGCCCTGTCCTTATTGGCTGGGAGCAGAAGGGGGCAGGTAATGTGTGTAGATAAATACAGAGTGCAGCCTGACAGCCACACACTCTCATGCATGTGCTATCATCACCCTCTTCAACACCACACACCACCACACCAGCTCCATCACTGCCAAGAAAGCAATTCTCAGGAAAGGATCTGCAGCCAGAAGATAGAAGAATTTCTTTCATTGCAAAGGGGAGACATGTCTTTTGAAGTGAAGGAGAAGACGGAGGTGCGCCTGGTGTTTTTGGGAGCAGGTGGAGTTGGGAAGACAGCCCTCATCCAGCGTTTTCTCAAAGACACCTTTGAGCCAAAGCACCGGTGCACCGTGGAGGATCTGCACAGGAAGGAATATGAGGTGGAAGGCGTCAAAGTCACCATCGACATCACGGACACCAGCGGCAGCTACTCCTTCCCCGCCATGCGAAGGCTCTCCATCCAGAACAGCGACGCCTTCGCGCTGGTCTATGCCGTGGATGACCCCAACTCCCTGGAAGCAGTCAAGAGGTTACGGCAGGAGATCCTGGAGGTCAAAGAGGACAAGTACACCCCCATCGTGGTCATCGGCAACAAGATCGACCGCTACAACGAGCGCCAGGTGTCCATCAAGGACGTTCTCTCTACAGTGGAGCTGGACTGGAACCACAGCTTCTTGGAGTCGTCGGCCAAAGACAACGTCAACGTGCTGGAGGTTTTCAGGGAGCTGCTGCAGCAGGCCAACCTGCCCAGCCGGCTCAGTCCGGCACTGTTCCGGAGAAGGGAAACCTTCCCGAAGGAGAACAACAAACGACCGCCCATGAACAAGACCAACAGCTGCGTTATCTCATAGTGATGGAGAGTAAAAACTGTCCAAAAGAGATGTTGCGCGGCGGGGACAGAAACTCACCAAGAGACTGTTAAATGTGTTCAAGCATCGCAGCAGTGCTCAAAGCAGCACTGAAGGCACAGAGATGCTACATCAAGAACTGATTTGTAGTGATGAACTTTAAGACAAGGATGAATGTGGCTAAACTTGACACCAATTACTGTGAATATCAAAAATGTAAGAAATGATGACAGCTCAGTTTTTTTTAATAGAAATCTCCTGTATATGTGTAATGTTTTATTTTTAGGGGGGTTCTGTGTAACTGCTGTTAAAGAAGAAGTTTAGTACTGATGAAATACTTGGTATAATTGCAGAAGTGTTTTTGTGTGTATATATACATATATGATGGGTTTATGGATCAAGTGAACAACAGAAGAAGAACTTAAACTGAAGAATTCATATTTTTTCTGGTTTGCAGAAAACTCATTAAACATTTGGCATTAACATGTCATTTTAAGTACACGCAGTGTTGTTGTTGGTGTGTTTTATCTCTGGTCTTCTTTTTATTTTCCTCAGATCTACACATCATGCAACCAAGGTCATGTTAGATGTTCTTATTTTCAGATGAATAAAACTTTTTCCCATGACTTTGGCTGCCAATCACTGTGTCCTGCTGTGACTTTTCTTGACGTGGAAACAGTGCATACAGACAATGAACACTTATATGATTCGAGGAAGTAATGCTACGTTGCACTTAAAGCCCGATAAAGCTGACATAAGATACTGCAATCTAAAATCTTGCATGCAAAATCAGCTGCCATGTGAGCGTAACAGAGAATGCATGTGGAAAACTAATTCAGTTGTAGATTATGGAGATATTTTGGGTGTCGCATTTCACTTGTGTTGGCAAACTGTCTACTTCTTTTCTTCAGAACTGCGCTGGTCCAACCAGACGAGTCAGGTTTTTTTTTTTTTTTTAAAAGGCCTACATAAACACTTGTCACCACTTGTCTGACCCGTGTTGAATTTAAAAGGGGTGGAAAGGGATTGGTGATTTTAATATACGTGCATTAGGCTTGCTGAAAAGTAGAAATGACAATAAGCTTATTGGATTGATTTAACAAACAAAAATACTCTCACATGCTCTTCATTTTGTGTTGTACCGCCCTCTAGTGGTGCAGAAGGTGATATTCATGGGATCAGTGTGTAATATTTGATGAATGATCACTGCAAGTTCATACAAGGATGCACAGCTTTTCAAGCAATGGCACCAACAGAAACAAAATTCAAAATAAACCCTGTGAACGCCTTATCAACTGTAGTTTCCAATAACTGTTGCAGTACACAATATAAAATGAAGACGTGATAGCTCAACGCTTCCTACTCGCATTAGGATGCATCATGTCCCTCTCATGCATTATACATCCACATTTTAGTGTTTTGTGTCGCATCCAACAAAGCGAACATGCAGGTTTTCATTCTCACCAAGAGGCTGGGAAAAGACTGAAACATGACATAAAAACTTGTCAAATGACACATAGATTATCTGTACATGACTCAAATAATGGCCTCTTGTTGTCTACTTTTCTCCACTACAGGATCACATGAAAGTTATGGAGTAAGTTAATACTCAACCGAAATGGTACACGCTGTTCTGTTATGGACGTTTTCATGTTCTCTAAAAGCCCTTCATATGTATTGTTAACATTTCCTGACTGTTGAAAGGCCATGCAGGCCCAGAGAGGGAGACAAAAAAGGTATGCTTCCTCTTTCCAAAAACAATCACACAAGGTACATTGTTTCCCCAGAATGAGACGAGGAAGTGACCTGTGATTATCGGATCTCTGGTTCCTCTTTGAGCCCTGTTTAAACTCACAGCTGTCTTCGAGCCTGTCTTTCTCGCCACATGGACGGAGACGCAGAGGCAAACCCCCGTCTTTTTAAAGCTCAGGTGCAATGTAAGCTTTTTTATGTTGGGGTGAACACAGGTACGATGTTCTGTTTTACATAGAGCTGCTATCGCTGTGATGTAATGCAGACTGACGGTAAAAATGTCATGACGGCTTAAATTCCTACAATAACTGACAGTTTCTGTGTCCCTGCTCCTAGACTTGGTCCAAGCTCCTCAGTGCTGCAAAGATACCTGAGAAGTTTCGAACAAGTATAGGATCTCTGACCGCCACTACAGCAGGTTTTTAGTGTTCCAGCTTAGGACAGAACAAATACTACAGAGGAACCGGTGATTCTGTTTCATACTGCATATTTTAAAAACTATATTTACTGTGATACTGTACGTTAAAGTTAAGCCTAGAGCCTGTTGTACAAACATGCTGTACTTGATTCCTTGTATTGCATTCTACTCTGAGAAATACCAGCTTTTTAAGCAACATTTGTTTAAAATCTGCAGAATGCAAGATTGTTAAAAACCCATCCAATGGCAAGGTGATTCTGCACAACATCACGAAAAAACATCCAACAATGACACCTACAGTGTAGATTAACGTTTCTGCCTTGAAATGAGGTTTTTTTTTCACCAAATGCTGATTAAATCACACGTCAAGATAAAGAAATGTAATCCTAAAATGCAGCACAGCAAATCCAGTGCGTGAAGATTTTAAATTTCTGTCTTCTGCAAAGTCAGAATCACGCATCATCACATCTGTCTAGAGCTTTAATACAGACAGTTCAGAAAGAGTGTGGTTTAAAGTACTTTGAAGTCCAAACTAACACCTGATAAAGTCAGTTTTTACTGCAATAGGGTGGAATGAACTGCACATACACTACAAACTAAGTCAGGTATAGACAGTGTTATGCACCAAAGCAGCACAGTGATAGTATTCCTTATTCAGTAGAGACGAGGCACAATTAGAGGCATCTGTTTTATTTTCATACACATTGACAAACACCGTAGAGTGAGACAGAAGGGTGAAGGGAAGGAGTCATAAGAACAGTAAATACAGGGAAGACAACATGAAATGCGCTAAGGACAGATGTAATTTGAGCTGGCATAGCAACGGCATTTATCCACCTCCGTGCCAACACGACACCAGCGTGTCTATCAAATATTCATCTACCAGCAAATCAGGAAAAAATCCAGCCTCTATTACGAAACTCAATCAGTGGTTAAAAGGAGCAAAAGGTGTACAAGTATTGCTGTATGGAAGACATTCTCAACAAACTTTTTTATTTATTTGTTTTGCATGTGCAACAGGAACACAAGAGAAAATAATTGTGCATTGGCTTATCAGGTATATTGTCCCTGAGCAAAAGGCTCAATCAGCATAGAAAGTCCACTAATTTCCACATGAGCGTCACTCTGAAATACCCACAGAGGGCACAAAAAAAAAAAAAAGATGCGTATGGCTGAATCACACCAAGTCTTATAGGGAGACGCCATAGATAACATCAACATCCTTCGGCTGTTGTCACATTTTTGCCAATTTGCCATGAATAGCATAAAAACAGCAACAACAAATAGACCCACCATATTGGAGTTGGTCACTGCAGGGCAACCTAAAAGCATGGAACAATTCAAAGTCTCCTGATCTGGTATATTTTGCAAATATAATCCAAAAAAAAGCAACATGGCTGCTGCTTGCATTTACAAGATGTGTTATTATGATATCGGCATTTCTGAATTCGATACAATACCTTGAAAGACATCAACATTCTTTAACATTTTCAATCCCACGAGGAAAAGCTGCCACAAACGTGTTTCCATGAGGAATTTTTAACGTGCATTTTGAACTATTGCATCTGAACAGGAAATGGAAACTGCAAAATTCAATTAGCCCTCCAAAGTCAGCGCGCTTTATTGGAGATGACAACACCATCTCCAAGTTTTGGGTTTTTTTGTTGTTGTCTTCGCCTCTAGAATGCACGAAACATGGCCAAAACCAGCCGACATGCTCTGTTTGTTAAACCCAAGTTTAAGACACAAATCAATTCAGCCTAAGTGTGTCAATATGTGTTCAAGGTTAAATCACTTTTTTGGCATGCATCAGCACAAATCACTGCCCTGCATTTACAGCACTCAACAGAACACTTTGTGGCTGAGCGTGATGCTGCTGGAAACCTCTGTTCCAAAAAAAATGATGGCGGTTCTCCCTTCAGGTGACTGAGGAGATTCTATCCAAGGTAAACAGCCGCCTATAATTAGTTTTATCTGCAAGGTAGCCTGATTAAATGAGCTTATTTTTTATTTTTTATATATTATTTGGAACATTTCCAAAGTTTACTGACAATTCTATTTAAATAGCTGGCTAAGTATAGTAAAACTTTTGATTTTATGTTATTTTATGTTGGCGCTGCTGCCGTGTGTTGACGTTCTGTCAGAGAGAAAACAGAGCGAGAAAGTGCAGCTGGTGTTGGTGTATCGAATCTGCAAAACAATTACTATTAAAACGGTTTCAAATATCGAGAATCAGTTTTTGATAACACTACTTAAAAGTCTAAAATTGCACAAAGCAGTTTGCAGCAAACCACAACAAACCAGACCAGAAGACTTTTCAAATCACTCCACACTTTTTAATTACTAGATAAGAACATTGAACCGGGACAACGCTGCAGCAGCAGTTGGCAATAATGTAGAATAGCTTGAACGTGTAGAAATGGATTTCCCTTTAGCTGTGTATGTCATTCATATGCAATGTGTTGTCGCTGCCGGATAACAGTTACAGTTAGCTGGTTAAATTATGCACAGTTTAAAGTTCAGTCAGTTACTAAAGAGATACAGTATATTAAAGGGTCAGTTCACCTAATCACAACTCTACAACGTTTCCTTACTTACAGTATGTAGCCGTTCACAGTTAGACTTCTGCTGCCAGTGCAAAACAATGGAAGTGAAGAGAAAAGTATTTGTGGTGTCCAAATCTTTTTTTTTGTTAGCATGTCCATATGGTACTTTTTATGTGCTAGAAAACACATCATGACCCGTCAATGCCATAGCTTAGCATTTTCACCTTGAAGCTGCAGCCGATGACAGTTTCAAAAACATGGATTCGGATTTTCAGAAATTTTTACGCAACAAACTAAAGGCACCAATCACGTCGACTCGAGAAGCAGGGCTCATTTTCCAGTTCAAACATTAATGGCTGAATTATTCTAATAGTGCAACGTGCAACTGGGTAGTGTTAAGTCATTTTGTGGAGAGGACACTCAATCTCAGTACAGTGAAAGAGTGTAGAGTTACACCTAAGTAAGTTTAGGGAAAGGGCTTACAGATTACTGGTTCAATAATTAATTGCAGGCAATAACTTACCCAGTTAAAAATATATATAAGATAAGACAGAGGATGGACACGAGAGCATTTTGGGCATTTAGTCAGCAGTGAGCCACCACGACAAAGACTTCTGTGACATTTAATGGGCGACGGCCAGTGCTCAGGTATTTAAAACGCAGTGACATCTACCAGACCAGCGATTCTAATACCAAGTGAGGAAGGCAACCAAATAGCATTATGGGCAAATGTCCCATTTTAAATATGTTAAATAGTCATAGTAGCAGACATAAATAACCAATTATAGATTGATAATGCTTCCAACTATCAGTTGCATGCCTATTTCAAAGCCAGGAGAGAGAATTTAAGTGTCTTCCTTTGCATAAATAATGTCCAAAATATCCACCGTAATCCACAGATGTTTCTTTAAACACTGAGTGAGCCAATTATGTTCATGCTTTGAACGCCACAAATTTAATTCACCCCCATGGCACTGGGTTAACAGCAAATATCTCAGAAGCAGATTTCGCAAAAACCGTTGTAAATACAACTGAAACTATCTTCTTGGCTAGATATGACTATGAGTGACTAAGAAAAAAAAAATCTGGTTATTTGTTTTAACTGATCAGCTAATAAATATAATATATAAAAGATGGCCTCTTTAATCCTGCAGATGATAAACGTCTTATGCCACATTTTACCAAACATTCCTACAAATGGTGCAAAAAAGCTGCATAAAAATATAGTTTCTGAGAAGTTCTTTTTTCTTTTTTTGCGGTTAGAAGCGACACACCTCATTAAATGCAAAGAACTCATAGTGCCTGAGCAGCCCTGGTCAGCAGAGCGAGCAAGGCTGTTGGAAAAATGGTTGGTAAAGCACAAATTCCCATTACTGGAGACATTTATCTTGTTTCGTTTTCTTTTTTTTCTTTTTTGCAGAATACGCCCAGTCACTAAATATGAGGTACCGTAGTGTATGACAAAATAACTTTATAAATACAAAGCATCTTTTGTTCAAAAAAGAGTGACATCAGCAAAACAAGAGAAAAAAAATTGAGGCTTCAAGAATAAAACTGCAATAAGTCTTGTTTGCTTGATGTTATAACCCTTTTCTCAATAAGCCACCACATGCATTTTCTGACTTAACAGAAGAAATACATTTCAACAGGTTTTGGTAAGAGGATAAATAACTTTTGGTAATTTTTAGAACTTCAATTTACTTTAAATTAATTAGGATACATGTAATCTCGACATACACAATACACTGAACGTGACATTAGCAGGTTGTTACAGAACTGGGCTCTCAATCGCTGACACCCACCTTCGCTATCATTTTGACACTCTCTAGTCGTCCACGGTGATGTTGCGGAACAAATACGCCATGGACTCGCCGTTGTGGATGCGGCGGATAGCCTCAGCCAATATCATGCTCACATCCACCGTCTTGATTTTTGGACACTGAAGCTTCTGTACTTCATGGGGCACTGTGTTGGTCACCACCACCTGAGGACCCAGTGAACACAGAGACGCTATTCAAACAGGTGTAACAACTAAACTATAAGACCGGGCTTCTGTAAGTTGCACCAGCACATAAGCATAAACAACATCTGAAAGTTCCAATTTGTTCAAACTAAACTAAACTGGCTTCGAGCATTAGTCTCATTACTTTTAGCCACATTACAAACGCTTAATTTGTGAGTTTCCACTTTCAATAAATTGCTGTTTTTAATTTACTCTGGTGTCTTGACAGGCTGATGACAGTCTTGCGTTTAAAGACACCTGCATTTTGTCATTACAGTACTCAAGATAATAATGTTTCATTAAAACTACAACATACAGCCATGCATTCATTTGTGCAAGAAATCAGAAATGGTTTGATGCTTTAGTTTGGAAGACAGAATGGTTGGAGATGTAAAGTGAAGCCAGAACATATTTAGAAAGCTAAGAAACACTTCAAAAATTTAGGAATTTCATTGCATTATTTTACAAAATGTCAAAAGAAGTGGCACTTATCATAACACAACCACACCACACCCGCTAAAACAAACCAGAAAACATGTTTCTTTAGTTTTTGGTGTTGGTACCTCTAACAGTGAACCCACATAAAGTCCACAGTTACGGTATTTAGTTTGCCAGGCATCAGCTTGCAGATTGTTTTGTGAATGGAATCAGCTAGTTTCTGTCAAAGCTGTAGTCAGACTTTCCTCAGAGCTTTCAGCTCGTCCACACAACAGCGTGACAGTTTGTGGGTTGACATTTGTACCTTGTAGGTGTTTCACAGACTTGTATTAAACACTCTAAATGGCTATTCTGAGACCTTCTGTGTTTGTGTTGCTTTGGGTCCTTATGCCGATAAAAAAAAATCCCCAACTGTTGCTTGAATAATTTGACACTTTGGAGATCTACCTCCAGTCTTCACCGTAATCCAAGTTGTCTTATTTGTTATCACAGTGCCATTCATAAGCGCTGTCACCCTCTGTGTCCATGCCTGTTGAGCCTATTTGAAATCATCAGTAAACTCATTTTTATCTGGTTATTCTTGTTGATCTTAGAAGCAAGTCTTGCAGATGTTATTCCTGACTTTTTTCCCCATACAGTCCAATCTGCCATACAATCAGACTGGGTGAACTCAGAAGCGCCCAACAGGTCACAGAATGGAAGCTTGTCAGGAAGAGCTAGGTTCTTAAAAAATTCTTTAAAAAAACAAACAATATCAGTAGCATAAATCATAGACATGAAATTGCTTTGTTATAAAAACAAATACTAGAATTTAAGTGGCACTAAGAGGAACTGAAAACAGAAACTCATACTTGTATAGAAATGCAACTGTTAGATGTGATTCTGTCGTTGCTGTAGTTACACCTTGTTCTAGTCGTAACATTGAACATGTTTTTGCTCGCTAAAAATAAGCTTGTCTCCTGTAGCTTCCTTTCTGAGCATTGGTGAGACATCTTGTGATTAAAAAAAATAAGTCATAAAAGAAAAAATACTATCAAAACCAAACAAATTTTGGGTGTCCTCACCTCATCAATGGCTGATTCCTCTATGAGACGTGGAGCGTCGGCAGAAAGTAAACCATGTGTGGCCATAATATAAATTTTATAGGCTCCTCTCTCTTTCAGGATCTCTGCAGCTGCAACAAAGTCTCCAACATCATCTATAATGTCATCCTGGAAGAAGAAGAAAAGGAAAAAGCCTCAACGTCAACCCTCAACTCCCCTCTTTAACTTGTTTTTAAAACATATCTCATCTCATCTCTGATTATTCGGATGATCTACCTGCACAGCCTCAATTGTGCTCAAAAGATTGAGTTTTAATTATCTTGTTGGATACTTTACCTGACTGTACTTCTACTCTTATACATTTATAGGAGATAAGGGAATGTCAGCTGTCCTGTTGTCCACTTTTTGTCTTTGTACTCGTTTTGTTAATCATTTAAAGCATAATTTAGGATAACAGCAAGAACATATGAACAGAAATATGTAAGATATGATGAAGGAGTAGCTACACCTGAGACGTCTAGAATTAGAAATGCAAAAATATACACTCAACTGTGTCACCAAATCCCTCCTTTCTTCACTTACTCACTACTCCATACTTAAAAGTTTACTCAATAGCTACTAAAAATGGGAATTTTGCATCATTGCTGACAGCGGAGTAGAGTTGTAGTTTAGAAAATTTTGAAATAGTTTAAAAGAAAGTAACCTACGTGCCAAATCAAATCGCAGATGGTAGATAAAGTCCACTATACAGTAACTAGAGAATACATAGTGTGGACATAGCAGAAGTAAAGAAGAAGCTCGCTGTTCCATCTGAAGTTTGCAGACAGCTAAAATTAGCAACCAGATCAAACAAAGATGCAGCTGAACGTACTGAGCATCAGTGTGTTTTAGTCCTTGTGAATTTAAAATGTTTTTACTTCTTTATAAAAACGACATGATCTTGTGTTGAGGAGTGAAAATGTAGCTCAAAAAGCATTAATAGTTGATGATAAATGTCCAAATGTCCATACTGTGTGTTATACAGTATTGAGAACTGATTTGGATTGATTATAAATGAGAATTAACTAATTCAAATGTGGCAAAAGCAGCCAAAATGTCTTTGTAGCATCTTACCACAATAATGGCAATTCTCCCACCCACATCTCCAACAACAGTAATGGGAGGTTTCTCTTTGGCCATCATTACTGAAAAGGAAAGCACACCCGGTCACCTGTGAAAATACTTCCAGGAGGTCACGTGTACAGAATCTCCCCGAATCAAAAATAAATCTCAGTAGATTGGGTAAAATGGGTTGAGAAAATCAATTAAAGCAAATCTGCACCCCGAATTTTTGAAGTACATTTCTTTATGAAGGGATTTAAATGATTCGTAGAAATGCTATATTGAATTAAAAAGGGAAAAAAAGCCCCAATTAATTAAAAAATTTCCCCCCATTCTACCCCACCTACCCCTAGGAGATTAAACTGAAATGCCAAACATAGTACAAAACATGCCATGCAAAGATCAAATGACCAAAAGGGTTTTTTTTTTTTTTCTGCCCAGGATACCCAATCAGAAGACAATGTATAGCTGCCTGGACACACACAACCTCAGGCCCAGGCTGTGGCAGGCGTATGGCAGCAGTCTGCATATGAACCAGATATGCAGCAGACAACCTCGTTTCACACAGGACGACAGTGGCAAGCACCGATGAGGGGTTTTTGGGTTTTGTTTTTGTTTTTTTTTCATACACGCTTGCCAATGTTCTGGGATCAGTCTTCAGTCGAACATCAGTGATGCCAGCAACTACTTTTACATGCACACAATAATCAGTTTGTATCTCAGTTACATATTTGTCATGTGTAATATATAGAACTAAAAATATGCAGTTTAGCTATTCATATTAGGACAGGGTTGTTTATCATTTTGACTACAATGCTGTTGCATATTATCACACTATTGAGTCTAGAGCTACTACGTTCCAATCCTGAGGAAACAAGAAATTGTTTTGCTCCTGGTACACTGTTGACACCCCAACTTTTCAATCCTCTGTATGTACATGTATATGCAGAGTATGAACATTAAACATATCATACTTGACCTTTCAGCAAATCTAATATGGTAAATGCAGGTCTATTTTTTAATTAAAGTCTCAGAAAAATACTCGGATTACATTTAATGCGATTACCCCCCACCCCACCACCACAGACCTTTGAAGCGTAACCAATTTTCAAAATAAAAGCTGCATTTTGAGTGTTGGTGTGCATGTAAATGTAGACATTCAAAGGGTTTGAGGAAACAATCAACTGGTAAACAATCAGCCAGCCAAGCCGATTGTGAAGGAAAAGGTATAAAGAAGCAGAGAAAGGAGGAGCATGCCTTGCAGAACACTTTGCTGAATACCGTGAGTCCCACAGCATCAGAAAACCTGGCACTTTCACATTCAGTCTTTTACCGCTATTAACCAAAAAAACAAAACAAACAAACAAAACAAAAACAGCAAAAGCCATGTTGTTAGCAGTACACACACTTCTCAAAAATACATTGTCGTGACAGCTTGCTGATGCACTATCACTGGCTACCTGAGAAATGTTTGGTCAGATATTTTAAAATGAATTTAGGATGTCAACAAAAACCCATAAGTCAACATAATTGTCTGATGGATCTCAGGAGTTTAAAGGGTTTCAATTTGCAAATGTTAACAGCAGAGATAAGTATAATCCCACACTAAATATTACTGTTAATAAAAAAGGTTCTGTTTTACCACAAAGGCAGGACACTAAAACTTGAGCGTACCAAGAGGTGCTTTTATCACATTTCTTCTTAAACTCGCTGGATATTAAGTTTCAAAAGCATGCTTTCTTGTTCTCATCACATGCGGTTATGACCAAATGTTAATCAGGTTTTTCAGAGCGGTTTTACTTATGGGTGCACCATGTGTTGATTGGCAAGATGAGTCCAGATATTTAACTACAAAGTAAAACAAAAAGGAAAAAATGTTTGGCATGGTTCTGGTTTTGATTTATGGATTTCAAAAGAAGAAAAAAAAATAAAAATCAGAACACAACAAAACAAAGAGGGTTTTGGCCATCTTGTAGAACTAGCTGTCTGGAATCGTAGAAAGGTGCAGTAAACATGAAAGGTGTTCTTTTTCCAAGTCAAACATGCCATGCAAATAGCATAGAGTATGGAGCACACTGTAGGCCTGAGAAGGTTTAGTCAGTGCAAATTGCCTGGGCACAAATAGTCTGCATTTTTTTCCCCCTCAAACTCCCCCTCCTGAATCCAGACTGTATTTTCACAAGATGCAACACAAACCCCTTTTTTTTTTTCTCTACACATGCACGAACTGAGGAACCATTTGAAGAGGAATCATTTCATAGTCAGATGTAAATTAATTTTACGGTCGTACTTGGAAGTTCTATGCCAGGGAACGGAGCTTGTTGTTTGCCTGCTATTATCAACAAATAAACACCACGTTAACACAAAATGCACAAATATTTGACATGACAAACACATGATGCCAAGACTTGGAAAATCCTCTTCCTAGGTTGACAGAAATGTTTAAATACAACAACAAATCAGGCTGACTGTATTACAATCTGAAACAAATGGTTGAAGCAATTTGTGAGTTGCAGTTCCAAAAGGAGGATTTTTTAAGTCGAGGTTAAGAATTAGGATTTTTTTTTTTGTTTGTTTTTAACCAAATAATAAAATAAATACTGGATGCAAATACGGAGTCATTTGCCAATGACACACTTCTTTGAAATTCTGTCTGACTCAATCGTCTTACCAGGAATCAACACTACAAATATGGTAAAAAAAACTGTATGCCACAATCCCATTAGTTCTCACCAGAAATGAACATTTCAAAATAAAGGTATGTGCCAAGAAAACAAGCAGAGGGCTATGCTTCTACGATTATTCAGTAGGTCACTCTTTGTACGTTAGGAGTTGCGGCTCGTTGAGGATGCAGCATGAGTAAAAGTAGTATGTCTGTGGAAATAAATCATGCAGTAACACAAAAAATCCTCGTCTTCGGTATGGTTGATGGTTGGTATGAGTGAGAAAACGGCAGAATCAACAGCTCAGAACTGGTTAGCACAAAAAAGAGCCGTATTTAGTTGTTGGCAGGAGCCGACGTTACACACAGCACACATTTTAACATGTCACAGCAGGAAAAGCACACGAGCATTAATGATGGCTGCACGTCACTTATTGGAGGTCAACCTCTTGTGCTTGTTGGCGAAGCTTTTTTCACCGGTGCTTCTCCTGCTCTGACAAGTCAAAATGTCTGCTGTGAAAAAGTTCTGTTAAGTTATAAACAGTTGACATATTAAAAATCAAAGCAGTTTAACAAGCAGAAATTATAAGAAATTTCTTGCTGGCTTGGGACTACGGTCTGACAAATTTAAAAAAAAAAAAAAAAAGAGTTTTTAACTGTGAGAAACAATAAACAGTGACATGTTAACGATACAGGTAAAATCTATCAAGCATTTGAAACTAGAAAACAGTGATATGCAAAGATGATCGTTCTTACAAGGCAGCTCCAGTCCCGTGTGTCCTGTGGTGTTGCGCACACATGGTGGGGAGTGTCTTCCGTCAGCCATGTCAGACTCTGAACACTGAGCCTCGCCATGAATCACAGCCAGACCCAGACGCAGACGTTCTGCATACGACTGAGCCCTAGAAAAAAATAATAAACGGAAAGAAAATACAGGAAGCAGTGGTGAAATTAGGCAAACACTGCTGAGTTGAGGCGTAAGATGATTAATGCTTAGAAAAGGGGATGATAATCAAAAGGTAAAAATGCATCAGCAGCTACCTTTTAGCTGCAGCAGGTGACTTTGCAACAATGATGGCATTTCTGTAATCAGGAATCTGACAGGACAGAAGAAAACAAATGTTCAATCAAACTGACTGATTTGGTTTATATGGAGGTATCAGCGCCTATACTTGAATCCATACAGAAGACATTCAAATGGGGCTATCACCTCTTCTTGGATGTACTGAATCAAGAAAGGGGAGGCACGCAAGTTATCCACTGGAAAGCTGAAGAAGCCCTGGATCTCCTTCTGATGCAAGTCCATGGTGATGATGTGTGTCAGTCCTTTAAAGGAACAGGCAGATACAAATCAAACTCGAATGACGAGACTGTTTACAAATCACAGCTTAAGATTTGCTGTCTTTACCTGCTTTGGCTAACATTGAAGCTAGTAACTTGCACACTATCGAGCCCCTCTTCCTCATCTTGCACTGCTTGCTGTAGGGGAAGTACGGGATGACGCCGATGATGTTCTTTGCACAAGACGTCTTGAGGGCGTAAGCCATAACCAGCAGCTCCATAATGGCCGTGTTGACATCTCTGTTTTTTGTAAAAACAGAGAGAAAAGAGGAAATCATGTAAACTTAGGTTGGTTTTAATCTGTGTTTTTTAAATAACTGTTGCAGGGAAAATGGCAAACTCACCTTGGTATGGTCTGGATAATGAAAATAGTCTGTCCACGAACAGATTCCTTTACGTCCACTCTAGTCTCTGTACAGAAGAAAAAATAAGGCATGAGTTATTTTAGAAAAGCTGCATCTTAACGTCAATAATTCTTAATGTACACTTGTTTATGCCCACTTAGAAAATGTTTAAGCTTCAGTCTCTCTATCAGGAATTGCACACATGATTAAAACCTTACATTGACTTGACAGCTAAGGTTTCACATTTCACAAACAACAGTAAAGTTGCACATTCTGCAGCAGCTGAATATTACTGTATATTATGCAGTGTTTGCACATCCTCAGCTCGTGACCCGATAAGTTGGTTATTAAGTGCACAAGGTGCCATTGAGGATGTATTAATTTCCGCAACGGTCATCAATTATAAATGCCCATGTCCTGCTCAAATATTTAATGCGCTAAAAGGCTCTAAAGAATTTTAATGTGAATAATGGGGACCCAGCGATGTAATGCGCTGGAGTCATAGTGGTTACAGATACGGACCATGTGTGGCAGATTGGGTATAAGTAATGACATCATCAATCCACATTAAATATAGTATATTTTTGTGCATGTCATCAGAAAAATTCAAGATGCTTATATCTTGTACACACTGATTCAGCACTGAGATTAAATCTGCACTTGGTATCTACAGGATACTCTGACCTGGGGTATTTAAATTCGGGTGAAAACGTCAGATCAACACATTCATGGCGAATATATTCACTAACTTTTGGGGAAATCATCTACACAAAGGGTTCTTGTGTGCAGCACAAATGCTCTTTACATTCCACCACATTGTCGGATGCACAAGCCCTACATTTGTTAGAAACTAAATGCTCATGAGATCATTTTCATAATGAGAGTTAGCCAGAGAGATGCCTGATATATTCATTTTAAATTGCATTCTGACCTCTGTTAGATTCTTGAAAGACCACAGACTTGCCCAGTTCAACTCCCAGCCGCCTGTGAAACGAGAGCACAACACTGCAGTCACACTGAAACCTAAAGATCATCATCAAACCAACACGGGGCAATCTTCATTCATTCATTCATTCATTCATTCATTCATTCATCAATGACCAGACAGACTCACACCGTCATTCAAAAGCAGCTGTAACACAACAACACTGTGTTCCATGTTACACAATTATCTGTCATGTATCAATTATCGTGATTGGTGAATTAATTGACCAATTTGCACGTCATTGATCCCAGAGGGGAGGTTTTAAAGGCCAAAGTCATATGCTACTCACAAGCTAACACGTCTTACTTGTTGACTCTTTGTATGAGAATCGTTAAAAATGACCTGAAAGCCATAAGTTACAACAGTATTGACTTAAAACACGACTTACTCCGTTATCTTCTTGGCCAGTTCTGTGCATGCTGCGGAAGAGTTCGCGGAAAAGACACGGTAACCGCTTTTAGCCACATTCATCCTAGTATATGTAGTGTTTTGTTTTGTTTCTTTATTTCACTGATACTGCTGTCAAACCGACCGACACGTTTGTTGCGATTTTATTCTTACGGCGTTGTCGTTAGCTAGCTAGCTAGCTAGACGCGCGCTAAGCCTGCGAGGTGAGCTAAATCACGCGAAATTACCGTCAGAGTGCGACGAAAACTTAGCTAAAACATAGCTACGAGTTAAATAATAGTTACTGTCATGTGGCAAATAAATTCGTTTTGATTCTGGGCGGGTAAACGACTGATACCTGCCCGTCAGGTAGCACAGTAGCCTGACAACCGTCCACACTGACAACTACGGGAGCTCCCCTGGGTCAAACTTAGCGGCTTTGCTTATGTATGTTGATCCTAGGCAAATAAAATATAAATTATTCAGTGGTGAAAGTGAAAGTATTTAATGTGTTGCTTATTTAAAAGTCATAGTGTAGACATGTTTATCACAAGTTAGCCAAAATATAACTATCAACATCAAGTCAAACACTCCAATACTACAGATTAATAAAAGATTGTCATTTTTTATGCATTAATTGGCAATATGTGTCACTTTAATACAGCTGATGGTAGATGAGCTGATTTTAACCATTTTCATATTTTGTTGGTTACACTTTCTGTTAATATTTTATAAATCTGAACCTTTAGAATAATTGTATTGAAGCAAAAAGTGCAAAAACTCTGAGGCCTGGTGTAGAAATGTGTTTACACCCTGTTAATCTGTCAGTTTGGATAACAGGATAATGGATTTAACAGCCGTCACATTGTCGTGGATTAATCCCATTATTGTCGGCGCTTGGATGAACTAAAATGATAGCAGATAACCTGATTAAACCAAAAAGCCTGTTGTAGCCTCAGTGTCACTTTTTTGCCCTCAGTTATTGAGAGATGTACAATTAGTGATTTATTTTTCCACAAGTAATTTACATAAATTGACCCAGATTTCTATAATTCAAAATAGTGTCTGGATTGACTTGAGAAGCAGTATTACTCCCGCTGCCCACTAGATGTCCTTGCTCATTAGTCCTGTGTCTAGTGCAGAGTTATGCCTTTGGATGTAGATTGCTGACACCATGTGAGCTTTATTTCCCCCCCAGGAGAGCAGGGTAAAGGCTACTTCATCACAGGCACATGGGAAATCTCCAACACAACAGCTTTGTCATAAATTCTACTTTTACAAGGCGTCTACATTTTCATTTTTCTGTAATAAAAGGTAATAATTTTCTTTTATGTTTATCACTGAGGTCATAGCAGGTGGTGGTGTAGTGGACTGCGATACATTCACAAGCATTGCATGCATGTTCGTGTAATGCACCACCACCACCCAGTAAAGTGGAATTATCACATTTCTGACGTCACTGAAACTCCAGATGCTTTGTCGCCATTGGTGTGTGAATGTGTGTGTGAATGGGTGAATGAGAAAACATTGTAAAGCGCTTTGAGTGCCGCTAAGGTAGAGAAGCACTATATAAGTGCAGTCCATTTGCCATTTACCATTTTTGTAAAAGTAGCATCTATGACAGAGCTGCTGTTGAGCTGGATTGCATGAGCTTTCACAGCTGAGTGCATGTTGGATGACATTACTCATGACCTGGAGTTTGACTTTGCTTATCTGGGTGTGGACACCAATAGTCATAAAGGATTAACAGAATATCTGTAAAACATAAACCAGCAAAAGTAGGACTTTTTTTTTTACAGTCAAATACAAGCCTCATTGATCGACTGATGCACAACAACCTGGTCTGGACTAACTGAACTGGTTTATACGATCATAAGCCGGTGCTATAATGGACACTGATCTCATTGTATTTTTCTGGCAGCGGCCTCTCTGAGAAGGTCTTATTCACCTTAAACCATATTATATTATTTGAAATGTGATTACCTGATATAATATAACTCAAAGGAAAAGTTGCACGGCTTGTTTTGTTGCGTTTGAAACACTGTAGTCTATGAAATACGAGATGTGGCTACCTTCAGTTGTTTCCTGGCCTTCTCTTAATACACCTCATGGTGCAACTTGATGACAAACTATCAAGGACTCTGTTAATGTTTAACCTGAGTGTGTACGTTGTACACAGCCTCAGTCTTAACTTTTCTTATGTCTGATGTCTTTTCACTCCTCCTATGTTTGCTCTCCTTTGACACTTCACTCCCAGATATCAGGCTAAAGCATCCAGTTCACTTGACCCTTTATGAAACTGGATTAAGAACATACGTAAGTTTTTGAAGCTGATAGCAGAGGCAAGATATGATTTCCCGCTGATAACGCCTGCTGCAAAACAAAGCTGGAAAATGCACGCTTTTGTGCAGTGAAACATGCCTGTTGAGGGTGTGTGCGTATAATGGGATGAGTAAAGTAATTTAAAAATGGACTGATATGATCAGTATCTTGTTTGAAGCACAGAACAAATCAAACTGAACAGACGTCATACGGTTTAATTCTCCGTCAGCAAAGTGTTTTTATATTTACAGGGCTTTGTGAGAAATTCAATAATATTGCAAGTTAATCTCCTAGATAGTGTGGAATGGTAACTCTGGAGGAAAAGGTCAGTGTGCTCCTTTATCTTATTTTAACACCATAATATTACATTGCCTCCATGCTCACACGTTGCATGTATGACATATCGGGCTGTCTTATTAAGGATTTGTTTCAGCTCTCATCATGTTTTCATCAAACACCACCTACAAAGGTGAGGTGGGTAGAGGGAGGAAGACGGAGAGAGGGAGGGAGAGTGTAAAAGCAGAGAGTACAGAGGCTCCTCCTCATTCGCTGCGTGCGTTTCTTGTGTTTTTTCAGCCTGTTCTTCACTCACACTCTCGCTCAGCAGAGATTCAGAAGGTAGAGAGCAGAGATTCTCACTGGGGAAAAGGTGGAAAAAGGGAATTGCTTCTTCTCGCACCAAGAAAGCGACACAAATAAGCAAAAAGAAAAAGAAAAAAAAAAACGAACAAAAAAATAAGGTAGAAATTGTGTTTATTTTGGGGGAGGGGTACTCTCATCATCAGCCCTGCCTTCTGCATGTGCTCAGCTCGCTCCACACTGTGTTTCCAGATGGAGAGGATGCAGGGAGAGGGAGAGGTGGACCACCTGGAGCGACCGAGCCCGCTGACTGACAAGGAGAGGGTGATGATCCAGGACTCGTGGGCTAAAGTCTACCAGAACTGTGACGACGTCGGGGTGGCCATACTAGTCAGGTATTGCTTCTTGGAGTTTGTTCTCTTGTCTCATGCTTGAACTTGTTACTGCAGCTTCTGCATCTTGAGTTCAGAAGATGTTTATCCAATTCAAACAAGGAAATGATAGCAGAGAGGTGACACAGTGACAGATGCTGGCTACAATTAGATGAGAGAAGGTGTTATATTTGAGCTATTTTGATATTTATCACCATTGTGGTTGTGCATCCATTTGCGCATATCTTGGTTTTTATTTTTTCTACTGAGGGGCTTATAACAGACGCTGTATGCATCAAGATTTTTTTTTTTATCCTTCTCAATTCTGCAACTTTGTTTGTGCCACTGCTTTTAAGATGCAATTTGCTTTCTGCATCTTTTCACCTCAGTGCTACTAATCCACCTGCTACAGCCACAAAACTACTGATGCAACCCATTTTCCCCAAAAACCTGCAAACATATCAATGCAACTCAAAGCACAGATTGTGGGAATTTGATCTTACAGAATGCAGCAGTAGCTTAACCTTAATGTTGACTTTACAAGTTTATAGTCTGTCCAAAGGAACGCAGCCAGTCATGTTTTTTTCTTGTACAGCCAATAAGATATTCTCACCTCTCCCCGTCGTATTTACGAAATCGCAGAGGCATAAACATTGCAATCCATCAGTCAGGCATCTTTGGCTCTCAAAGGGCTCCCTCCCTTACACAGCAGGTCATGTTTTGAATGCCTGTTTAGAGGGCCAGGCAACCTACAGCGGCATGATTCCTCCATCATGGGCAGTGAGATCTTTAAAAAGTCCCTCTGCTCTCTGAAAACGAGGCGTGACAGCATTTTCTATTACGATATCGATATCAGTGTTTCACATTTTTCTGAGATATTCTTCATCACTCATTTAAATGTTCACTGTATCTAATTAGCCTTGAAGATCTGTTAGACAATTCCTCCGCTTGTTATAGTCACTTTAAGTCCTTTAATGTGTTCCCTGGAATCCAAGAAAAGAAATTGTGCCAAAAATTAACCGTCGGCAGGGATTTTGGCAAAGATGCGAAGGCATTGACTGTCTTTCACGTGTGACGAGATTCCCTGCATGACATTGCATGCCTTTATAATCCTTTCTGATTGCAGGAGGTGAAAGTTGAGAGGGAGGGCAGCATTAGATTTGTACACTCATCATTGGTAAACTGGTCTTCACAGACTACTAAATATAAAAATGTAGTTGCAGCACTTTAAAACACAAAAAAATCAATAAATCCTCTTCTTTCCAAATGAAATTGCTAAAATTGCACCTTTCTAGCTCAATTTCCACCTTATTTTTCTACTCGCATTCCATCACAAAGACCCCACGACCTTTAGGAATTTAAGGAATGAGGACTGATCGATAAGCATGACCCTGGGAAATTCTTCATTTGACAGTAAGACTAGATTCACTGTTAAACTGGAATGCTACCGCTAATCCTTGAAACTAACTGTCTTTGGGGTAACAGATAAGATCCAAAGTAGCAAATTATGGCGCTCTGTCTCTGAAATTAGAAACTTTCCCTCAATTCGGCTCTTCGGTTATTCTTGAAATAAGATAAGGAAGGATTAAGAGTCCAATGACTACATAAAATACTAATGAGGCTATTTATATGCAACCACAGGTCATGCAATTACAAGAAAGAAAGATTAAACACCACGGTTCCTCATTAGTTTGCAGTAAAACTAGGAATCTTTTTTTTTTTTTTTTTTAGCTCCAGCACTTGCAGCAGCCCTGAAAAACTAAGACACCACTTTTCTAACCTCCTCCCATTTAAATTCACAAGTAAAACTCTAATATCTAGCCAAAATATTTGCTTCCTTTTTGTGTTAGTTGTTGCGGAAACAGGGGGAGCTGGGACATCTTGATTTGATAGCCAGCAACCAGATGCATTGGCCCTCTTCCCAGACTGTGGGAGGGGGTGAATTTTTAGGTTCCTCTTTGTTAATTCGCTATGATACCTCTGAAGGTCAAGCAGGGATAAAATCAAAGAAAAACATCTTTGAACTGACAGTTTATCCTCAGAGAGACCACAGTGTGAGTCAGGATGTGTGAGGAGATATCAAAGATCTAGAAGTTGAATTAAAATGAGAAAAATGTCAGAATTACGCCAACAGAAGCACGAGACATTTACAGTCATTACAATCGTCCATCACAAAGTCAAAAGGAAGTCATCAGGTGTGCTATGTCTTTCTCTCTAAATAGCACATTTCACCTTTTGTTAGAAATTGTGCAGCATTACAGAAAAAAAAAAAAAGAAAAGACATGACAGGAACCACAGTGGAGGACCAGTGACACACATGAGCAAACGAGGAGTGGTGGCAGGAGATGTGCATCCAGAGGTCAGATTTCTGATTAATATCTGGGTGTCCAGCCAAGGGAGTGAATAAAATAACATTTAATGGCCACGGATAGGTACAACGCAGTTAATAGTCAATTCATGCTTCCTCAAAACCTTCATTTATGGAGATAACTATCAAACTGGGCTCACAGGGAAGAATCAGTTACATACATCCAATGTTTAATTTACAAAGAATGTCAAGTGGGAACAGATATTATGCAACAAATACACTGGAAAGTACTGGAAAAAAAAAAAAAACAAAACATGGAACAGACATTTATCAAAGCCAAAGTTCAAACAGTTATGAAACAGAATCTCTCCCAGCACTTGGAGTCAGATGAAGCTTCGAGAGATTTTATCTGATGCTACAAAATTTATTGCATCTCTCCAGTTCAACATGTTTAAGGGAAAATGAGGCTTTATTCTTCACCTGCTGTACTGTATTATATCTTGGGCAACAAAAAACAACTTAAATAACTTTTCCATGTTAAAAGAATGTATGTTTTCACCCATTTACTCTGCAGCAGCATGCTTACCTTCACTTTCGGAAATATATGGAGTCCATATCACACAGTAGCAGCTACACGCAAACAGCTGAAAAGGAAAAACACACAGCTCTGTCATGTGAGTGCTACTGTTTACTTATGGTATCTTGCCAGCTTGAAAAATGAACGTGGGTTTGCAGGATCAAGTCGGTGCGGGCTGAAGGCCAATGAGAACAGCGTTAGCTTCGGCAGCTGCTCACATACTACACAACATATCTCTCATTTAACTCTCTCCTCCTTCGCAGGCTGTTTGTGAACTTCCCCTCGTCCAAGCAGTACTTCAGCCAGTTCAAGCACATCGAGGATGCGGAGGAGCTGGAGAAGAGCTCCCAGCTGAGGAAACACGCTCACAGAGTGATGAACGCCCTCAACACGCTGGTGGAGAGCCTCGACAGCTCCGAAAAGGTGGCTTCAGTGCTAAAGCTGGTGGGGAAGGCCCACGCGCTCCGTCACAAGGTGGAGCCTGTGTACTTCAAGGTAAAATGTGAGGAAAAACAAAAACGCAGAATGATTGGGATGCTTGTGATATAGTTATAGAGCGTATTTACCCCACAGAGAGTCCTTTGGAGCACGTTTCAGACCATTTTGAGTCATTTGGTATAGGTTTTTGGTGATGCTTTTTTAGGGTTGGGGTTGGGTTACATGGAGGGATATGAATAAGAAAAGTTAGTAAAAGTGGAATTAAGGGATTTTTTGCTAACAAAAGGGCAGAAAGTAGATTATAAAAGACAAACAAGAAAACTTAAAGCTGTGTCCCAAATCTGTAATCTACACTGATTCAATACAGTATAGCACATTTTAACCACCAGTTATTATACAAAGGATCCAATATGCTTCATTGTTTTACAGGAAATTATACAATTTATGTAACGTCAGACAATCAATCAAACCATAAGTTTAAATGTCTTTACGAATACGTCCCCCCACCCTACATTTATTTCCATTTGTGAGTATTTTCTCCATCTTCTGTCCATGACATTATGGGAGAAACTAGCTCACTGAAAAAAAACAACCAATTTTTGACGATTTTTGTTATCAAAATAGAATTATTATGTGGCCTGAACAGATCAAGCTAGACTGACAGAGGATTCCTGCATTTGAATTTACGACTTGCGACTAAGTTTTTCAATTACAGGAACTGAAAAATACAGTTTAAACATTAAAAAAATCTGGTTGATACTGTAAAATGAGACAGGCAACAGTGTTTCAGTGGCAGAAGGATGTTCAAACTTCTAATAATAAAAGAAAAAATGGTCCTTTAGTCCTAGAAGTGAAAATATCTATTGAATAAAGATATTATATTTCGAAAGATAGCACTGTTGCCTCGCAGCAAGAAGGTCGCCAGTTTGCGTCCTGGTGGGGGCACCGGAATCTTTCTGCGTGGAGTTTACATGTTCTCCCCGTGCAGCGTGGGTTCTCTCCGGGTTCTTCCGCTTCCTTCCAAAAACATGTTGAGGTTAATTGGTGATTCTAAATTGTCCGTAGGTGTGAATGTGAGTGTGCTTGGTTGTCTGTCTCTAAGTGTAGCCCTGTGATAGACTGGTGACCTGTCCAGGGTGTCCCCTGCCTTCGCCCTAAGTCGGCTGGGATAGACCCCCCCCCATAGTAACTCACCTATTGCTGCCTACACAATTAACAGAAGCAGAAACTTGGTTAAGCCCATCTGAGTCTTCTTTCTACCACCTCTGGCATTATAAATGTCAACTATTTATTGAGCTGAGGCTGGTCTAACATGTCATGTTGAGCAGATGTGGTCTGTGCAGGCAATTGTTGTGGGTTTGTGATCAGAGAAAACCGTTTAAGTGGTAAATGAATGCTTAGAGTTAGCTGAAAAGATCGATACTGCTGATTGGTTATTGAAGATACAGTCACAAAGATTGGAAAACAATGAAAACAGCTAGCCTGGTTTTGACCAAGAACTTTGAGCAGCACCACAAATCTGCATGTTATATTTCATTCTACTTAATCTACATTTCAAAGTATTGGTATTTAATATTCTCAGGCCATGATGTCAAACACTTCCTTTCATGGAACTTCAAGTCTTAAATGCATCTGTTTGCCTCCTGCTCAGATTCTGAGTGGTGTGATTCTGGAGGTCCTGGGAGAAGAGTTTGCGGAGGTTGTGACGCCGGAGGTGGCTGCAGCATGGACCAAACTCCTGGCTACGGTCTACTGCGGCATCACAGCCGTCTACGAGGAGGTGGGCTGGACGAAGCTTTCGACCTCGACCGGTTGAAGGTCCCAAACTTGGACACATGGAGATCCTTCCAGTTTTTTCCTCAGATAGGAAAATGACTGTAACCTGGACTGTATCTGGGAATACAGTTTCATGTAATCTACAATAATAATGGGCGGTGGAACATACACTCTATTATAAACAACAATAAGAACAAGTACTCTGCCCTCGTCGTGGCTAGCAGAGTGTGTGAGTGTGTGTTTGTGTGTGAGAGCGAAAGTAAAATATTTAAAGCTCCCCTCCTTGTTCTCGTGTAAAAGGCTGGAAGCAGAGAGCAAAGAGGAAGAAAATACAAACCGTAGATCCAACAGTGGACAAGAGGTCACATTTGACTTGGATGTGCCTTCTGCTGAATGTGTATATCTGGAAAGAATGAAATGTAAACGGCATTCTTTATATATTAGGATGTTTTTGCAGACGTTTCCTCTTATCAGTGCGTGCCCACTTGTGTCCGTTTTACTAGGTATTACAAAGACATTTTTACATTTCTAACAGTTATTTGTGACGATTGTACATTTTTTTCATTATGACTCACATTTGTATCTGTAACTGAGTAAATTTTGAAATAAAAAAAATACAAAGAATACTCTACTAGATGTCCATCCACAATGATGAATTCTTTAAAACTTCTATCGGATCCTGCATTTCTGTCAACAAAATTCCAATTTCTTGTCTGTTCCTTGGCCTACTGCACTCTTATTCTCTGTTTGAGTCAGCAGTGCTAAGTATAAGTGGCTTAGCTGCTGACAGTCCCTATTTATACCCCTATTTATCCCACTATGCTCTCTCTTTTCATAATATATTGTAGGAGCCCTGCACTTGGCCTGCGGGGATGTCATTAGAAGGTATATTTAGAAGCACCCCTATGATATCTAACCAAGATCCAACATTTTCCAAAGTAAGTTTGAGCACAATCGGAGTGAAACAGCACAAATCCAGATATACACCAATTTGAGCTGATTGGAATATGTTAATCCTTAAACCCCATGCTGTGAAGCTGCCATAGGCCTGCTCGTGAAATGCCACCCTTTCGTAACTAAAAAAGACATTATGGAGGTTGATTCGTCTCGCTGTGCAATCGACACGGTGGAGCGGTGGGTTGTTTTCAGAATAGCAGCACACAGCATGCTCTGTTTACTTCCCAGTCCTGCCAGCGAGATCTAACCCCCCTGCTTGATCCCTAGCTAATCCTCTGAGCTAATCTTCCCAATCATGAGTGAGAGCCAAGCGGAAAGGCAGGAATAGTCAGATTGTTACAGCACAAACTCTGCCTTTCACCATTCCAGCCTTTCAAATGGGGGAAGAAGAGTTCTGAACCGCCAGAAGTCCCAAGGCAGGAGATCCTTGGGGAGGGTAGAACCATGTGTACCACTATGATGGTCCTCACCACCATCGCCCTCATCCTGCGGCAGAGGTTCTCCAACAAAATCAAACCGTGAGTAAGCGTCAGAAACCAACCTTTTGATTTTTAGCACCGAAGAATAGCGGCGATTTAAAAAACTTGTCGTCTGTGGTTGTCCCAGTTTCTGTCAATATTCCATTTTCAGATTTTGATTCAGACAATATGTGATTTTAAAAAAATCAACAGCTTGAGCCTTGAGAGAAAAGTATGAAATACTTCAGAAAATAAAATACCTCCACCCATACCAGATTGTGAGCACATACAGAAAAAATAAATGCATAAGCGTTTCATGTGTGGGAGAGAGTGTGAGAAAGAAGAGAGAGACTTATCTGCATCATTGATTTGCAATCACTCCTGTGATTATTTTGGGGTTTGCCTTGAGCAACAGTGTGTGGATTAAGTGGCTGACTACATAACAACAGTGTATTCCAGCATCTTTTTTTTTAATGGAAAGATGAATGGAGGAGAAAGCATCGGAGCTCTTCAGTTCATGGCTACTAATTGACTCAAAGTGCAATCTTCTCGGCCCCTCTGGCCCTGTTCGGCCACTCACGCTGCCATCGCAAACAATGCCACGTGGCTGCAGCACCATGGAGCACGGCTTCTCAACAGCAAAATGAGTTTACCGCCCTATCCATGTAATAATGAGGGTGAAGCATTTAATGTTACATTTTGATTGTGTTTTCTGTTCTGCGTCAGCTTCAACAGGCAGAAGGATGATACTGAGAAAGACGTGCCATACATGAAGAGCAAAGGAGCAGCGGACGCCCAGAAATGACAGCAGTGAAGATGACGGGGTAAGAGATCAGTTCAGTTGGTAGTGTTTTTGTAAAGTTGGGAACTTGAAAAAGCAGTCAATGACAAGACTTTTATGTGCTTAATTTGCAACTCTTTTGTAAACAACCATGCTCCCTAAAATCACCACTTCCAGTTTGTGACATTAGCTTTGAGATATAACCCTATACAACCTCAGTACGCAAAATACGAAATAAACAGATGTAAATTACAGATTCGTGACAGGATAAAAAGTTACCCAAACACATCCTCAAACTTCACACACTTGTCGGGAAGTCATGCACTAAAACCCTGAGGCAGCTAGTTTATCTTCCATCATAACAGCAGTGAGGTAAACAGCAGGAATATGGGGTTGTGTTTATGTGTTTGGTTGGCCAACGCAACATCTCGCTGGATGCATGCAGCCAAAGTTGAGCCTGGTTCAGCTTTGATGCCGGACGATCTCACATTGTGTCACCAGAGTGGTTCCAGGTGCATGTTTCAGTATCAGGCTTCTGCAATATTTTCTGACTTAATGCATAAACTGTACAGAATCCTGCATATGCATCATCAGGCTTTACAAATTTCCTCGGTTGCCACAGAAGATGCTAATGAGCAACTGGCTGGTCTCCAGGATGAACTGCTGTAAATACAATCCATCAATGAAATTAGAATTTTTTAATTTTAGTGTTAGCTTTTACCTTGAACGACATATGTTTGGCAGTAAAAAAAAAAAAATCTTGGCAAAGCTAGTTTAATTGAACTACCTCTAAAATTAATTACAGCGCTGCAGACAAGAAAGTAGCAACTCGTGAAATTAAACAGAATTTGGGAAATTAAATATAAAATACTTACAATGCCAACACACAAAACTGAGAATTACATTTAAAGAGAAAGAGAGAAACAAGTTGACAGTGATGTGGAAGTTGTGTGTGTGTGTGTGTGTGTGTGTGTGTGTGTCGGGGGGGTTTACAGAAGGGGCTCCAGACAAGGGGAGAAAGTGGAGCAGTGGAGCATGTTACAGAAGCACAGATGCATGAAGAGCCAAGATGCCTGCCCCACATTTGGCTCTTAAGTACTCGCTGCTACACTGCTAATACTAAATGATTCAGAGGGCAGAATAACAATCCATCATCTCTTCAGAGGGTTATTATAAACACAACGCCTGCCATTGCCACCGCATTGTTAAATGGGTAAGATCTAAATGACCTAAATGACCACCGTGCTTGACTACAGCCTGGTCACGGGTAGTCTGTGTGTGAACTTATACTCTGCATCCAGCTGAGTCACGGTGCATTGTTTCTTTATGAGGCATAATTTCATTTTCCCAAACCATTCATGACTTTGCATGGTAGCTTTTCTTTTCCTTTTCCTCCCCTGTAGACTGTCCATTATTTTAGAGCTAAAATGTGTTTTAAAGCAGAAAACAAATGCACATAAAAACAAAATCTTCATTTATTTTGTGTTCTGTTTTTTTCATTTCAGTGGCCTCTGATGTGAAGACTTATTTCCCGGGCTACTACCGGAGAGACTTCATGTAGTCTTTTGTTGGTTTTCTCTCATTGATCTGATTCTGATTCATCTGCACTTGACAGCTCACGCCAAGACTCCCACTAAGAGTAAAAAAAAAAAAAAGAAAAGTGGGCTACAAAAACACTGAGGCCTGTTCTGATGATGGCGTCTTCCTTTCTGTCCAGCAGATGCTCTCATTACTGGAAAAGGAAATCTCAGCTGAGTGAGTGCAGAGGAAGCCTGTGATAAGTGCTGAATTTACAGCATTACCTACATTGTGACTTCAAACTCTGGCATTTGTTCAGGGTTTAAAGTGACAAAGATGTGCCTCCATATGGAAAAAAGCCACAAAAATGTCTTTGATTCTGTGCTATTTTTGTAGCTGTTAATGAGGAGGGCTTCCACTGGATGCATCTTAGCATCTCATAAGTGATTTCTTCTGAAATAGTGGTCATGTATTGTACAGCATATGGCACGTAGAGAAAGCTTGTGAACCTTAAAGTTTTATGTTGTTCTCACAGAGGAAGCCCAGTGACTGAATAAAGCAATGAAAGGCATTTGTATGTTGCTGTGTGTCAATGAAGTTTGTCTCCTTTAAGAATACCTGAGTTTAATTCCTTGGTGATTTATTAAAGAGATTAACCTTTTCTGATAAATGAAACAAGTGCTGTTACTTGCAGCATTTAAAATATCACCTGACATTATACTAAATAGAGAACTCCCTAAAGTAGACTGATGGCGTGGCATGCATCACAAATCAGTTCCAGCCTGCCTGAAATGCGATATGCACAATCTGGTAACTTTATCACAGGAAAGTTACCAGGAATTATCACTGGAATGTGTGTTAGTCCAACAAATCTTGGATTTGTGTTGTTTAATCTGTCGAGATAGCTTGAAATACTGTGCAAATTTGCCCTGACAGGGTAAAGAAACACTCCCCTCGAACAACTCCCCCAGGTTCCACCAATTTAGCAAAGAGGAGAGTATATCCCTGCATGCTCAGGGCAGAATTTTAAACATAGTTGTAGAGCAAATCTTAGTTTTGACACACAAATAGAGTGATATCAAGGGAAATCAAGTGATATCAGCAATTAAATCTACTCCTAGTTTCTGAAGAAGCTCATTTTGTGATTATGGAGGACGATATAGATAAGGAAAAGAGTCATAAACTTACCTTTAAGCAATGTGCGTACTGAATGATGATGCCTGCTTATTATTGTGCTGATTGAAGTGCAACATCAAGCCCAGATCTCACCAACTTAAACATAAGCTATAGCAGATGAATTATTCAGCCCATCAGTTTTACAGTAACTGATTTGTTTTGACTAGTTTTCTAAGCTCTGATGCCACCTGGTGGTAAAGCAGCTGGACAGATTTAACACAGCAGGCCTGAGCAAACAGGTAAAAATGTCAGGTGACTTTCAAAACAACCAACTTCGTCTTCAAACACAAATGAATTAGCTTTTCTGGAACACGTTTCCCTCCACAGTAGGTTAAAACATACATTACCCACAATGCACTTCGGACTGTAAACAGGAAGTGTGCGTTTTGCCAGGTTGTGGTACTGCTGCAATGAATCGCCTAAGCACAGAAGCTCCGTGTTTTTTTTATTATTTACTTCACGTTTAGCTTATTTCATGCTGATCAGATAGTTTGTGCTAGAAGACTGAGTTAGCTCAGTTGTGCTACATGGCTAACGTGAAACCTTATGTGAATGTGTACCGTTTCGAGGCGGTGTGATTCATTTTACCGTTAGTCAACTGACTAGTTTTAAATTGCTAAAAACGAGTAGCGACATGAAAGCATTAAACGATACAAAAGCATATTAAACATGCGAGTTACAGCCGTCTCGTGTCTCTAACAAGGACAGAAATGCTAAGTAGTGTTAGCATAGCGGTTACCAATGGAGACGGGAGACGCCTAATCAGATTTAGTTAGAGTTAGCTAGCTAGCTAGCTACATGCAAGTTTTAACGCTAGCAGGAGAAAGAAAAAATCAACATGGTGAGTTAAACTGCTGCCAGAGTGAACATTTTAAATGATTTGTCAGGGGTTAAGCGATTCTTGAAAATGTTAACACCAAGTTTTCAGCCACTTTGTGTATGAACAGTTCGTTTGCCCTTTGCTACAGAGAAGTTACATCCGGCTAATTTACAGCCTTCCACTTGTAAAACAGCTAATTATTTTTCACCCATATTTACAGGCAACAAAACCGAAGGCTAAAACCTCTAAAGGTAAGTTTCACCAGTGTTAGTTATATGTTACACAACACAGCTTTACCATCAGTGTTAATGTACCTCTAGAAGAAGTCAACGTAAATCAAATCAAGGTTCTTTCTATTGTAGAATATGAGAGAAAGCTTTACAAACTAAGTATGAACACACAGAAAGCAAAGCAGTCTTAACTTTACAAAGTCAAAAGTTTCACAGTCATGTTAAGTGTATCCTTGTGGTTTTCTAAAGGTTCATTCAGAGATGATGATTTGCTTGACAGCTTGTTTGATGAAAAAAGTAAGTGAGCAACATTCTGCAGTTTTGTCAGCATCAGTGTTAAAAGTATTGTCTCAAACATTATTAAAATTTTACGTTGAAATTGTGATATATTATGTATACTTTTTAAAACAATTTGCTCACCAGAACAACCGGCAAAGGGGAAAGCAACTCGCGGAGGGCCACTGCATCGGTAAGTTGGAAGAATTACACAGTTACACACAAGGATGAACAGCTAATTGAAATATTATAGAAATTCTAATATCCAATTTGCAGGGGCTGCTTTTTTTTGATGGTGGTCAAACGTGTCACAGCATACTATTATAAATAAACTATTGTGCTGTGGTGCAGAGATGCTGACCTACGAAACTTATTCACCTGACTGAAGAAAACATGCTTGTTTGGTACAGACCAGAGTCAAAACTGCATCATCATTTTTAGATTTTTTTTTCAGTGGAAAAGAAATAAAATAAGAAATTCCTGCTTAAATTTTGACTCATTTTGAAATTGCAATAACTGTCAAAATATTTGCTATTAGATTTTTTTTTTTTTTTTTTGCATACTACCAATCATAAATGATTACTCCTTCATTTGTAAATTGTTTTTTTTTTTTGTTTCCAGCACATATGCCAGTGATAACATCTTCAGTATGCTAGCAGAGGACGTAAAGCAGGACGGGGGGGACAGTGAGGTATGTAGGCAAACAAGTTGACTGTGTCTTTTGTGTTTACATTACTTCATTGTCTCATTGTTGTTATTTCCACTTCTTTTTAAGGAATCCGATGTCTCAGCAGCTGACCCCACCGTCCTGCTGAAGAACATGAAGGTACGTTATTATCAAATGTGCAAAAGCAGAGACAGAGTTCAGTTTTGGTTCACTGACAGCATCTATTGTTTTCCTGTCCACCCTCGTACAGGACATGGATGATATGGATGCTGACCTTTTCTCATCAAAGAAAAATCCCCGTTCGGCTCCTGCACAAACAAAGCAGTCTGGTAATGAAGGGCCAAAGAAAGACTCTGCTGTGTTAGAAAGTAATGTAAAACCAGAGGGAGCAGGTAATTCACTGCAGAATGTTCCTGCATAAATTATTTTCTCATTATTATCTTCACATCTTTTACCAGCTTTGAAGTTCACATTAATAGCAGCAATCAGAGAAGCCTTTGTCTGCCTCTGCTTCACTCAGATGAACCCAGCAGAGGAGGGAAGAAGCCAAACTCTGCACCTTCATCCACGACCCGTAACTACAAAAAGTTCACCTTCTCTGGTGAGTCCAAGTCGCACTCACTTCTGAGCTTTGTGTGACTTCACAGGAGAGCAAATGTGCCGTTGGTTCATAGTTTTGCTTTGTTTTCCTGCTGCTGCTGCTTTAACTCAGACAGTGGTGGTGATAATGAAGGTCTTGGTCAGACACCTTACACTAAAGGTACATTAGTAAAGATGTGTGTTTGGCCCCGTCCTCGTAGTTGAGTAATATCAGTGGGTGTCTGTGGGTAGTTTGAACAGAAGTGCACACTATAAAAAGTGGAAATCCCACACAAATGTGGAAATCTGGAGGTGTATTTGCTGAATTAGCTTCAGATGTCAACAACCCAGTGTTACAACCCTCCATTAAATCTTGTATTTGTTTTGAGTATGTTTTCCACCCTCACTTACATACGTGAAGTGGGCAGTATATAAAGCATGCCCCTCAGTGAATCAAGTCCAACACTACGACTAGTTATTGTTGCAGGCCTAAATAGCAAAACACAGTAAAATATATTTATATACACAAATATGTGTGCATTTTTGTTTGTGTTATTTTTAAAAAAAAAACTTACTATAAGTATCTACATCTGTGCATAGAAAATTACTATCTATAATTTACTGCTTAACACTTTGGTGTCACGATAAAAAGAGTAAAGAGTCTCCTTCCTCTTGCAGATCTAGACGACCCCCTGTCTGATCCCCTCGATGACTTGCTTCCAGATGAAACTAAGCCTGAATCGATACCCAGCCACCCCAAACCGGAAAAAACTGTGCCATCTCCTTCGGCATCTCCCTTCCTGAAGAGGGAAACAAGTAAGCCTTTTCAAGATTCTTTAATTTATCTTTTGTACGAGTTATCATCCAACACTGTGTGTGTGTGTTTATTCTTTGTTCATCAGCTAAGGCGGCAAAGAAGGGTGAGCTCGCCTTAGATGATGAGGATGACTTCATGGATGCACTCGGGTTTGACAGCGATAAAAGCAATCCCAAGAAAAAAGAGACTCTGCTTTGGTCTACCAAGGAAAGGTAACGGCCCTGTTTTCGCTTTTTGTTTCTCACTCTTATTGTTGTCCTTATTTATAGTCCTCAAATGATGAATAATTACTGTGTTAGTGCTTTGGGATGCAGCGAAAAACAAAAACAAACCTTGACAATGTCTTACAAACTGACATCCTCTCTTTTCTAATTTGTTCTGCTTCACTATCTTGCCGCTCCAATGGTGGCTAACAGTCTTTGCTGTTCCTCATGTTATTTCATGTCTCTGTTTGTCTCAGGGGCGACGCCCCTCAGAGAAGCGCCCCTCGAACTAGAATCACTGAGATTCTGGAGAGTTTCACCTCACCGCAGCTTCTGGAGCGACCGCCCACGGGTGAGAGGAAGGACCAGCTTCAGTCCCAAGAGAGGCAGCAACAGGAGAAGACATTAAAAGGTTATACAACAGCATGCTTTTCTGTATGGCATAGCTGTGAGCAAGTACCTTTTTGGTCATTCAATATGGTTTCATGTATCAGAGCCACTTGTAGAAGATGACCTCACATTCACGGCCTATCAGCCGACTGTGGGATCCACTCCTGAAGGGCGTCATTCCCGCAGACAGTCTGTCAGGTTGGTCCAGGCTTCATGTTGTACTTTTTGCCTGTTGTTTTCAACTGCACTAAACTTTTTTTTTTCTTCTTATAATCAGATTCTCCACAGAGGACGTCAGTGCCTCTACCCCAGAAAAGAAACCAAAACCCACCACGCCCACCGCCACCCGACGCCAAAACTCAACCGACTGGCTCGGCCTCAAGCCGAATGATGAACCCAACTACCTAGAGGATGGTCGCAAAGAGACGAAGGTTTCAGCAGAGTCTCCAAAGGCCCCCTCCTCTCCTGTGTTGGAGAGAAAGCCCTCCTTGACCAGCAGTCATACCACATCTGCTGCAAAAATGGCAGCAGATTCCCCAGTCCCAAGAGATAGTATCACCAAACAAACCAAATCAGAAGTTTCCAAAAGCCAGAGGAAAGAAGAGGAGGAGGATGACTGGTTAGCTGGAGCACTGAGCAGGAAGAAGGCTTTGTCCAACACCGAGGCAACAACTTTGAAGCAAGAAGACTCCTCAGACCTGAAAGAAAAAGTGGATCTTGAGTCAAATGTTAGGTACTGTGCACGCTACAACAGAAGAGGCAATACGTTGACAAAAGAAATGTTTATAGTAGTGATAAACGATAACCTGATCTTTTCTTTTCAGTAAGCAAGTCACACCACAAACTCCCAGAGGCAAAGCAGACACTGTTTCATCCGTCAAGGAAGCGAGGTACGATGCTTGTTGTGTAAACTGATTAAATTCATCGAAGTGGCAAGATTTTGCTCTTGTTTTCATTTTTCTTTTGTTTTGTGCTGTAGCACCTTTATCGGACAGCCCAGTCCTATTGCTCATTCCACCCCCGTCAGAGAGGAGAGGCCCAAGCAAGGTATCTGACTCCATTTCAATAAAATGATGAATTGAAATTGCATAACGATCACATTTTTCAAAGCCATATGCCTTCCTGTCAACACAGTAGAAGGTTGAAAATTGTTCCCATAAGATCAGCCATTGATTCATACTTCTGTTGACCTATGAGTCCCATACCATCACATCATGCTCAAAACCTTCGTAAACCACAAACTCGTATTCTGCTGAATCATGTCCTCCTCCTCTTGTATAGACACCAATCTCACCCGTCCCTCAACTCCACCTCAGTCTCCCGCTATGCTTATCAAGTCCACACCTACCACCCAGGTATCACCCTCATCACCCCCTAAAGTAGTAGACATTGGACAAACTCTTAGTTCGTCTCGTCCCTCAGATGCTCAAGTTACTGATCCCTTGCCAGCCCCTGCAGCTAGCATTAGCCTCCCCCAGCCTCAGTCCAAACCCCACCACTTTCCATCCAGTAGGGGATCCGAGGTGCTCAGGGAGCCCAGGCAGGCTTCAGACGAAACCGTGCAACAGCTACCGTTGCCCAGCCCTTTGTCCGCTATGCTGCCTGGCACCGTGTGGTGTAGGTAATCATAGGAAAATGGCTGAGTTGATTAAATACATAAAGGCACATTTGACTCCAGTGCTGTAATATACAATGTGTGAGCACCTCAGCTTGGTTAATCATATTTGCTTTCTTGCTTGCAGTTCCACAACAAAACCAAATGCAGAATACGCCAGCTGCTATCCAACAACAGGTATGGCTCCCTTTCTGTAATAAGGATGTTATGATTATGATAAATAACTTTAAAATTAAAATCTCTTTTGTTCTAAACAGGCGACATTTTCAACAGACAGTTTGCAGCAACTGCTACTACAACAGCAGGTAGGGACCAACCTACTCTCCTCTACTTACAAGAGTTATGCATTACAAATTCATCACTTGCTTTGTTCTTCATTTGGCTGCTCGTTTTTTTTTTTTTTTTTAAAGATGATGCAGACTCAGTTGCTGGGTCTGGGGGGTTTACAGCAAACTGGAGAATATCAAGGGTTACAGGCTCGTATCATCCAGTTGGAGGGACAGGTACAAACATTGTCACTGTGTTATATGTGTAAAAAACTTTCGCTGCTGCATCAGCTTCGATTTAAAAGTCGTCAAAGCCTAAAACTTGCTTTATCATCCAGGTGAAGACGCTGCAGCTGGAGCGAGACCAGAGCCAAATGATGTTAGAGAAGCTCCAGCAGCGGCATAAACAGGATATGGAGCTCGTGGAGAACACACACAAGTAGTTTATTTTGAGACCACACACATTCACCCTGTTTATTTTACCACACGCACAAATTTTGAAGCACCTGTGTACGTGTTTAAAATATATTCCACAGTACATATTTCTCTGTGCGATTCTGTATGCTTGACACATACTCTAAGTCTTCCTGTTTGTTTCCAGGGCTCGTGTGAAGCTGCTCGAAGACTCAGCAGCCCAGAGGGAGGCACGAGCGCAGCACGAGTGTGAAGATCTGATGGAACGCCTGACCACGGCAACACGATCAGCCGAGCAGGAGCGCTCGGAGCTGCAGGCTCAGTACCAGAGAAAACTGGCCCAAGCCCAACAGGACAGAGACCGCGAGGTGGAGAGACTCCGAGATCTACAGAGGTAAACCTGGAAGAACCTGTGTAGCAACAACAATGGCAAATTCTTTATTGTGGGATTTGTTCTACAGTTACCAACACATCTACTGACTGAGTGAAAGGTCGTCATACATGCAAACGAGTAAAAATTAAATGAAACAAAGAACAATCTTTCCATAGAACCCATGAGACACAACACCGTAGCAGTTAATAAAGCAAGACTGCTTTATCGAAATTAACGGAAAACTATTTAAACGTGTTTGGACCAATGCGATCACTGAGCCTAATCTTTATATTATGCAGTTCAGTGGTTCAGAACATTAAGGGCAGAATTCAAGAAGTAAGTTTGTTGTGGTGTATGAATAATCTAACTGAGTAACACCCAGACAACCCCTAAATCTGGAAAAGTAGGTGATATCAACTTGGACTGCACCTAATGATTATTTTCACTGACTTTCTCTAAATTGATAGATTAGTTGTTTTTTCTATAAAATGGCAGAAAAGAGTGAAAAAAAACATGGATCAGTGTTTCACAAAGCTCATGATGACGTCCTCGAAATCCTCTCTTTGTCCACAAAGCAAAGATCAATTATTTTTGGCCATAAAGAAGTAAAGAAACCAAGAATTATGAAAATTTAAGAAGCTGAATTTTTAAACTGTTTAAACCAGTTAACCAATTATCAAAAATGTAATGGTTGATAACTAATTGATTAATTGTTACTGTCAAAAGACTTCATCTGGATTCAACTCAAATTAGCCAGATCAATAAGAGAACTCAGTAAGTCCCAAAATTTGCTTTATTTTAGGAGACTGTAATCTATATTTGCCACATTTTTCCACCTTTGCTGTGCAGAAAATCTATTTTGGAGATGAAGAAAGACCACGAGGATCAGGTCCACAGACTGAAGAGGCTAAAAGACGAAGAGATTGATGCTGTTACAAGCGCAACATCTCAGACCAGGTAAATTATCACTAGAGGACAGAAGGAAAAATACTCATTTTTACAATTATGCACTTAATTTCATATATCTCACTTTGTGTTTTTGTGTGATTTCAGTTTCAGTTCTATTTATTTGTAGCGAGAGCACAACAGCACTTTTTAAGGATTGACTGACTAATGCTGGTCAGGATTTCAGGGATTTTTATGTCTACTTGTGATCCCTTCGTCTTCGTCCAGGTCTCTGGCAGGGGTGATCGAGCAGATGGAGCAGTTCTCCTCTCGGCTTGGAGAGCTTTCTTCTCGGGTGGAGAGCACACATGAACACACGGCTCATGGCTTAGAGCAAGGGGCACGGCACAGAGACGAGCAGCTTCGAAGTAACTCACACCGACATGCACGCGCACGCTTTGTACAAACGGGTGGAGACGCGAGTTGTCCGTGAGCGTAGTGGCCTCACAGTGCAAAGTGGGTTAAGGTCATTTTCTAAATGTGCGTTTCAGCGATGCAGGACCGTCTGACGCAGCAGCAGAAAGCCATGGCGGAGGAGAAAACCTACCTGAAGGAAATTATTTCCAGGATGGACGCTCAGCTGAATGAGCAGCAGAGACAGCTCGAGAAGGTGAAGATGTAAAAACCCTACATAGATTGCAGAACATTTGCTTAGGAATAGCAGTTTTTCAGAAGTGCTGTCCAAAAGTTTTAGACACTAAAACATCTCACGTTTGTCCTTTTTAGATTTCCTTTTGCAAATACATAAATATTTCAGTGACATATTTGTATTTCACTGCAAATAAACAGTAATTAGAATTGGTAGATATATATCTGAGTGCATTATTAAACAATTATATCAAACATGTGCTTATAAAATAGTATGGGTTTACTGAAAGTGTTAGTGGCTGAAGCCGTCACAGTTTGATTTTAAAAATTTACACCGTGATAAGGGTGCACATAGCAACAAGAGGTGACATTGTGGCATCAGCAGAGTGTCTCACAGGTGGACATTTCACATCAGAGTTGTTTTTTTATTTTTTGAGATTTGCTGTACAAGCAGTTCTGCAGAAGCACAAAGAAATGTGCAAGGTCCAGAAACCCTGTAATTAGGCCGGGGACACTGACTTCTTTGTGAAATGGGAATACGTCCAGCAGTGCCATCATCTCCGAACTGGCAGACACCATGCGGGGGCCTGAAGCACTTATCTACCCTGCACATTAGTCTGCTTCAAAGTGGCCCTTATGGAATACTTGCAGCCAGAAAGTTATTCCTGTGACTCACCTATGCACAAAAAAATGTGTACAGAGAAATGGCAGTTTGTTTGTTGGGTCGGAGAGCGATAGAACGATGAGGGTCTGCAAACAACAGTAAAGTATGTTGGGCGTTCTTCACAGTTTGCGGGCTGCATTTCTGAGTCGAGGATTTTACCAGAATTAGTGGTCCTCTTAGTGCTGAGAAGTGCAAACAAATTCTTCCTCGTCAAGAACAAGATGTCCTGCAGCAGATGGTATTGGCGCCACAGAGTCCCGATCTCAATATTATGGAGTCGATCTAAGATTACACCGAGAGACAGACACAAGTGAAGTAGCTAAATCTGCAAAAGAACGTGTGATGCAGACTTATTTTTTTGTAAGCATCCTCACTTTACGAGTGCCACAAACTTTTGTCTAGAACACCTAATATTTAAACCAATACTATTCCCTTCAAAGGCTGAAAATGCCAGGTTTGTTTTGTATGCTTCAGGAGCGCTGGAAGATGACAGCAGAGCAGGCCAAAGCGGAGTCTACCCTCAAAAGCCTGGAGGAAGAGCGGCGCGTCCTCAGCATGCAGATCGGCATCGAGAGAGAGGAGCTGGAAAGAGCCAAGGTGAGGCTGTCAAGCATCCACGTCAGTGCAGAGCTTTCCACCGATATCATGCACCTCCACGTTCTCCCCAAACCTCCCCATCTCTCTCTCTGTCCGTCAGAGCACGTTGCTAGAGGAGCAGAAATCGGTAATGCAGCACTGTGCAGATGAGAGGAGGAAGCTGGCGGCTGAGTGGGCCCACTTCCACGCCCAGGAGAAGCAGAGGCATGAGAGGGCCGAACGGGAGGTCAGCAGCCTCTTGGAGAAGAGAGAGGGCTCCATCATCAGTCTGGCACAGGTGAGAGGGGCGGCTTCTAGGTAGCTTTGTCAAAAAAAACTCAAACATCACTGCACAGATAGACATTTATATCAGCTTTATGTGCCTGCTAAATATAACTGAGTATATTTCTCAAGTGAATTTAGTTAACCCTAGCCTCAAAGTACACAAAAATGTAATATCTGTGTCTTTTCTAGGAGCAAGCTGACCTGAAGCTTCGCACAGCGGAGCTAAAACAGAAGGAGATGGCTGTAGCACAGGAGCGAGAGACTCTGGAGAGGCTAAGAGATGAGCTGGACCGAGAGAAAGAGAGAATAAGCAGCACAGCTCTGAGACTCAAAACAAAAGCCCAGGAGGTCGAGGCCTTCAGCAAGGTAATTTCACACTACAACGATCCCCACATGTAGCGTGATGTTTAATGTTTGACTTTTGACTACGCTACGCTCATCACAGCTCGCCGCAGATAAGTACGAGGAAGGAGAACGAGCGCTGCAGGAGGCGAAACGTGTGGAGGCAGAGCATGAGGCCCGACTGAGGAGTGTTCATTCCCAAACGGAACACCTGAGGCAGCAGGAGCAGCGAATCCTAAAGGTACGTCTGTCTGTCCGTCAGCTTTCTGTACAGTACAATGGAGCACATAAATGACGACTGTGTTGTTACAGGAGCGAATGAGGTTAAGTCATCTGCAGAAGGACACAGAGAGGCTGAGACAAAACCCTTCTGTTATACCTTTGCCACAAATTATTCCACCAACTTTACCAGGTGAGGTTGAAAATCTATCATTCAGGAATATTAATTTGTCATATTAGATTGCATTTGATCTGCAACTGGGCTTTTTTGTTTCTCTGAAGACCCAGTTTCAGTGTTGCCCGACCCTGAGCTGACAGCAGCCCTGAATATCCGTCCTGCTGCTTCGTTTGCCAACGCTCAGTCCATGACGCTTCAGGCCAGTTTGGCTCTGTGGAAGTACACTGCAGAAAAGGTAACGGTTATGGAACACTTTCAGCCGAAGATGTTGTAAATTATTAAACAGAGTTATAATTGCTGGCAGCACACAAGCTCAATTTGTTTGAACATGTGTACACTCCCTTTCAGTTTCTAATGCTGGCCAAGTAACATTTTTACTGGTTCATGAACTTAAAGATGAGAAATCTTCAAAATGCTGTTATAAAGACATAATTTATATGTATTTACTTACATCGTTCAATTAAGCCACCCTACGTATACCAGATATCTTAATCTTTCCACAGACATCAAGAGTAGCACATAATCAGCTATTCCAAACACTTGTTTTCCCCCCAAGTCAATCACATCTTATCTACATATTTAGCTTACATCCTTTTTTTTTTCCCCAAAAAAGCTTTTGAAAAGCTAAATGCGTAACTTAAGAAATATCAATTGTAGATTAGTCTGTTACAAGATAGTGGTGACATATCCAGGATTAGTTATCTTGAAAGAAAAAAAAAAAAGATACACACCCACATAGAACACAGTGAAGTTATGGCTGCAAGGTCTCTTCAGCTGTAATAAGAGTGCAATTCATTTGCCAGTAAGAGGAATTTAAAATGTTTTCTTCCAAAGATATATTGTGAATTCTTTTGGCCACAACTAATGATAATGTGAACTTATAACAGCCATTCTAAGAGATAATTTCAGAAAAGACAACTTTGCACATGACAGTTTTTTTTGTACAAGCTTTTATTGAACGCATGAAATTGAAACTGGTCACAGCTCACAATTACACATCCAGTGTCTGCAGATGTTTAATAAATTTTTTTGGATTAAATTTCCATTAAATAATCGGGTGTTTCTCGTGCCCACAGGACCGCGAATACCTCCAAGAGGAGCAGATTTTTCTGGACAATTTGAAGAAGAAATCTTACAGATCCCCCTTCAACACAGACTGACCAACACAGCCAGGAATCGTGTTACTTTTCATACTTGAATGAAGAACAATGCTTGAATTTTATACATCATTCTAGTTTTAATAAACATGTTTCTGCTCAAACGTGACTTGATTTTCATAGTAACAAAATCCTCTGGCATTAGACTTATGGATTAATCCCGAGCTGGTGTGTTTGCTTTCCACTGACGCCATCTGTTAAGCATTAAAAAAAAAAGAAAAGAAAAGAAAAGCTTAGATTAGGACATTACACAAGCTTTAGGTTACTACGATTACATATTTTAGTGCAGACACGCATAACTTAACACATTTACCTGTTCGTGTCATCTTCGGAGTCCACGCATCGCCTTACAGTGTTGCCTTTCTCACTCCTACATCTGTATAAACACAATGCACATCAATCTCAGATCATACGTCTAGAACAGAACGTCCAATCCAGCTGTTTCTAAATCAAATAATAAATGGAAACCTACATCACAAGTAGTACTTGCAGTACAAACCTTTTCACTGTGCTTCCTCCATGTGGCCATCTGCGCTAAATGGGACATACAGGCCACAAACCTGCAAAAACGCATCTCATTAGTGATAATTACTCAGCAGCATGATGTTTAACACATTAATCTGCAGCAGATCAGATACCATTGGTTTCCACACGTTTTATTTCAGACAGGGATAACAAAATCATCATATGCACCGCCCGGAGTCAGGAATAGACTTATCACACCAATCAATGTGCAGTTTTACCTTTGAAAATGTGGTCCTTCGTTGCCATGAACATGAAGGTGATTCCACATCATCCAACACTCCCCTGCAAAGTTAAAACACATTAAGTCGTTTTTTACGTCTGTATTTAGACGCTTTACAACATGAGCTGTTGGCTCCGCAGGCCACGTTGCTGTTAGTTTAAATTTAAAAGTTAATATTAACACTTCAACTTGTATTCCTGCTACTTTACATGCCTGTTAGTTGAATGCATGTTCTGATTTGACTAAAACACCTCCTGAGTGACTACTTTCTGCCACACGTGGCCCTCTCGCACGTGTTTCCCGGCTAAAGGGAAGCTAACAGCTAACATGCTAGCAAATTTAATGAACAAATCGCCTCCAGACGTTCAAAAACTCAACTGCTCGTTGAATATTTACCTGTTCACGGTGGTTCAGCTTCATACTGGCACATAAATGCAGCTCAACGCCTAAAAGCAGCATGTTGTAGGAGCTGCAGTATTTCTTCTCTGCCTCCGAGGGTAGAACAAGACCGGAACTCTCGCGTGGAAGCGTTTTTATATGTTGGATACGTCACAGACCACGTGATTCGTGAGTGGGTGTGGTTAGAAAAGTTGAAATTGAACACTTTTTGAAAACTTCAGTTTATTTGCTCTATACTTAAACTGAACAGTATGATTGATAAAATAATACTCAGTAATAGTGATGATGTGACTGTCTGGTAGAACTAGTTGTAGATAGTTGTCATTGTTAATCTACGACATGGAGAGCAACAACCACATTTGTTCATTCATTCATTTGCTGAGCTTCCTGTTTATCCTTAAATAAAATCAACAACGCCACTTTTCAACAAAAGCTACTTCATCATAAGTGCTAGTCTCACATTCAAAATTTTACATAGTATACTGTAGTCAGATTAATGTTAATTATTACATCACACTTAAAACAACATCAAGCCAAAATTGTTTCTGCTATAGAGAAATAAAATGGCTTTAGAGTTTACCTTGAGATTAAAATCCTACAACGAGATATATTATGTAAATTTACTGGAGTCATTTGAATACTACAGTTAAGACTGTAAAATATTCTATAAAATCTTGAACAAATTTACATGAAAATATAATACAAATATAATACAAATTCAATGTTATGATTAAGACCCTACAGTATTGTAACTATATTTTACAAATACAAATGAATCTCACTAGGTTAGCATTATAAAGCTACAGTATTATGTACTCGAACAATGACCTGACTAATTTGAAAAATAAACCCCTGCACTATTATACATGGAGAAAATACAAAGATTTACAGGATCTAATTTTATTCAATATTAAACAAATACATTAAGGTTCATGATAATCTTTCACACATGGTTCTAGTCAGTGGCAAAATCGATTAACCGACTGGATTAACTATCGTTTATTCTTGTTAAAGTGTTATGTATTTCATAACCATCACTATACTCAAGTTTTTAAGCTGGTAATAAATTAAAAACAAACAAATAAAAAAAAAAACTACGTCTTAACCTTAAGAGAACTAACGCGATTTATTTAGTTATCAAGCCAATTTCAGTAAGTTCCATCAACTTATATTTAGTTTCTAATCAATTAACGGGAAGATTCAAGTTTACATAACTCACAATATTAAGTTGACGCAATTACAGACATTATTATGCCAACCCAACCCATAAAAATAACGTTTGCAACCTAAAATGTTGATCTAAAACAGTAAATTATTTCATTGTCTCCGTTTTTTTGCACCTTCTATTATTTGCACGTATATATTGAACTGTACATATGTTTATATAAGACTGCACCTTATGTGTACATTTTGCACTATTATCAACATTTCTGTAAAGTGTAGTCTGACTGTGTAAATGCTCTGACAGGATTGCTGCGTAATTTCCTTTTACTCTGTGCCATGAAAAAAAGGGGGTTTGGTTTATTTTCTGTTTTATTCTAAATTAGAAATTGTGCATCAAGTTTAGTGGTAGGAACAGGTCTTTTTAATTACTTTTGAGAGTGCATAAAGACAAAGGCACAAGGTGTTTCCTCCAAGACGCAGCGTTGGATACAGGACGCTGCGCTGCGCTCTCCTCCTGCTCCATCACTGCCGTTCCTCTTCCAGTCACTAGGGAGAGACTCTGAACCGTTCAAGCTCCTGTTGTTCTGCTTAAAGGGTCCCACAGCAGGCTGCTCGGTTTAGAGTCCGCACCGCACCGCCATCCGCACACCGGCCTCCGGGACGCGTCGCACTCTCCGTCCGGGATGGAGAAAGACGCCTCTGATCCGGACCCATCCCGCCAGCGGAACGGGTTCGTGGGCGTGCTGTACGGGGAGTTCACCGACACGCTCAACGACAGGGTCCGATACTCGGTGAGCCTAACGGAGAGCGCCCTGACCATCCAGAGAATCTCCTCGTCACCCGGCCGGACTAAGGTGGTTTTTAACTTGACCGACTGTATCGGCTGCCGCGCGTACAGAGGGCCGGACGGCGCGGACGTCGGCGCGTACTTTACCGCTTATTTCTACCCGTTCAAGAGGCGCTGGATGAGCGCCGGAGTGACCCGGCAGAGAGTGGAGCAGTGCTTTCGGGTCGCGCTGGTCCAGGACCCGCTCCAGAACCTCCAGGAGGCTGAGAGGTGGGCTCATGCCATCAGGGACGCCTCGGTGCTGCAGGCGCCCCGGAGAGACGGTGAGGAGGGGACACATGGATCAGAGGCATTAGATTGTAAATGTAACTTCACATTTGAGAAAAACATGGGCCTGTGTTGCAAAAAAAGACACTTTATTTTAATGTGAAGATAGTAAAGTCTTTAAAAAAGGCTTTGAATGGAGTTGCTCTGTGTTGCACTTTTGATTTTATGTCACCAAAGTCTTGCAAAGTCAGCGTTTGAGTTGCCAACTGAATGTCTCTGACCTGTGTAATTGGGCTGATATATAATACCTCAATTGTAAGCTGCATCCTCTCAACGCCAAAAAACAGGTTTGGCAGACAGGAGACACATTCCATCTGCTCTCAGTAACCTGCTCTACCTGCTGTGAGAGGCGAAAGGTGAGCTGCCTGCCAACAGCAGCTCTCATTCATGCACACAGTGTGAATCAGTGATGATCCTGGATGTGCAGCCTGGATAAAAAAAAAAAAAAAAAAGGTTCAAACACACACACACTCCTGGAAAAAAATGATCACTTAAGTACTTAGATTTTTTTCAACTGATCCTCTGTCAGCAGACAGTGTAGCTGCTGCTCAGGCTTCATTATTTCTGCTCAGTAAATTCCCACTGAGAGTTTATTGTTGATGGGTGGAAGCATCACATCAAAACAGCGTCTGCTTTTCATCCTGCTTCGTCTAATTAGGTCTCATCATGTCTCGCTCTGTTTAAAATGCCTACTGTCCTCAAGTTTTCTTTGTCTTCCAGTCTCATTAGCTTCCACCCTGGTATACAATGACAGAGTGATTAACACGAACACAAGACGAGAAGTGTTTGTGCGACTTAATTGCCACTCATTTGGGACAAAAAAAAAATTGCAGAGACAAAAGCTAAAGGAGGATTGTGGTTTGCAAATCCCCGACTCCCCCTCTGTGTGTCAGGTCAGGTAATATCCTCTGTCTTCATACAGAAATATTTAACTGTTTAAAATATAAAGCAAGCTGTGCATTCTTGAGCAGTCGGCGCACTGAGAGGAGAAGCGGATATTTGACTCGGCGGTGACTAATTTGGAATGTCGGCTGCCAAAGATGGAGGCAAGTGTTGGGATGAGGGATGAGGAATGAGGTCGCCCTCCTGGTAGCAGCCTCCAGGTGAACACAGCAAACACACAGAGACCTTAACATCCAGCCTCCCTCTGGTCTGCAGCCAGCAGGACTCTGACATCCAGGCCTGTATGGCAGGAAGGCAGGCAGATGGTAACCTGAGAGATACCTGAGCCCCCCACTCTCCCCTCACTGGACTCATCAAAGAGCTCCAGCTTGAGGACGGGGCTGAAATTCAGCCACACATACTAATGAACCAACAGTTTGTAGATCTCTCACTCCACATTTTTTTGTGCCCTTTGAACACAGCAACTCAGCAATCATATCATTAATTTATAAGCTTGTTTTAGCATCCCCCAGATCCAGGCTAAAGCCAATAATACAGTATTTAACGGAATCTATTATGCGCTCTAAATGTTGTGCTAATAGATGCAGCAGAATCGCCGCTCGCTTTACTGTCTTGTCATAGAGGATGTATGAAAGTCGAGTCGCTAATCCCTCGTCGTGTGTTTTACCCCTCCTAAGTTAATTGCGTGCCATCTCATCTGGGATTGCAGATGGAAAGGTTGGGATTAAAAGTGCAATTGCTGCACAAGATTGGTATTTGGGCAGAGAGCTATCATGGTGATGCAGGGGGAAAAAAATGATGAAATAAAATACGTGCAGGTGTGGTTTACAGCGAGGATGTAGCTCTCCTAATTTAGTTTGTGTGTTGAAATCCAGCCTCACATCCTCGCTGAGGGTTCATCGGAATGAATGAGCTGTAAATAATGAAGTGCTATGATATAGTCCTGCTGCTTCCAAGATCCACAGTGAGATTGCATGCAAAAGGAATAAGATGATGGTGACTTGATTTGACTTTTCTTGGGAGTGGTTGTTTTTCTTTTTTTTTGCTACTGGCTGTATCCTTTTTCTGCTGTTCAAATAGCTGGATACAGATTAAACATTTACACATTTATACATCATAGACTTTTACTATTTTTGATCCAGCTTCTGTTACAGTGGCATCAAGGATTGTTTTGATTTCTCCCAAAAATCTGGGTCTGACCCAGTAAAAAAGTGCAAATAAGCAATTCCAGTGCAAGAGCGAGCATGATTCTTGCATGTGTCTGGGTAACAAGTTGTGTCAAAAAAGAAAAGGGGAAGGGGGGGGTGGAGCTGTGGTGTGTCCAGCTCCTTGTTTTTCGGCAGCCTCGGGGTCAGGTGTATCTGTCAGTGTGCGATCTCCCCCCGAGGCTCACAGTTAAAATGCGTCACCAGGCGACCTCTGACCCCGGCCAGCATCTCGGTCCCCGCGGAGCTTTCGTCTTCTGGTCCGTGACACACGGCTGTGATGGCCTGTCAGCGCCCCGCCCTGTCTCTCTCCTCTCTCTCGCTCCCCCTGTCTTGTCTGAAGATGCCTCAGTGGGCAGCGGTGTTTATGCTGCCCGGCCTTCCTCCCCTCCTCAAACACTCACCCAGCCTCGGAATGCAGCTCATTTGCAGTCTGAATATAGAACGTCCGAACAAGAAGGCTTTCACTAAATATCCCGCATGTTTGTTTGTGTTCCAAGATTCCTTTTTTTTTTTTGATATTTATGTCATGTTTTAACAAACCCCACCTGTGCTGCAGCATGTGATACTGACTGTGCATTACACGTCTATTTCGAATGCATTTGCATAGTGATTCAGTCGTGGCAATGAGATGGTAAATCAGCTCTGTCATCGCAGCACTTGTTAGCGCTGACACATTGTCATATCCAGTCTGCCTGTCGCCTCGCCGCCTGTGTGTGTGTGTGTGTGTGTGTGTGTTTACCCACTTGTAACTGTGAAATACACACACTGCGGCTGAAAGTTTACTTGCCAGTGTGATGGGCAGGATTTGCCTGCAGGTATCTGACTTCACATCACACACTGACTCGATCACACGTACACAAACCGACTCAGGTCAGGAGGAATGTGGTGCAGGAAGAAATAGTTTTCAGCGACAGGGCTTGGCAAATTTTGGGGGATGGAAAATCATTTAAACTGTGGCCTGTATCTGTAGTATCATACTGCAAATAGATGCATTTGCTTTCTTGCTGCTTGTGAGCTCAGTATAAACCATACGCCATTATTTACTGATAAGAAATAATAGTCCAGCTTAAATAACAAAATGTGCCATTTATTTAAACTTCATGGCGATTTTATTAGGAAGGCTACACTGAATCCTAGTTTTATTAAGGTTATAATGTGCAGTTTTAGTTGAAACTGTGCAAATAGATAATTGTTGTTTTAACTGTACGATTTCAGTGCTGAGATGTGGTTTTGTCCACCTCATTCGTCATAAGTTCGGGTAAACTGTTAGAAAGATCTCTCAGTTGCCTAATGAGGCCCGAGCTGTTTTATTAGTTGTAACTTACTGTGTGAATGCATTCAGCACCGACCCTAATTTCAGTCACATTAGCATCATATGGTTCGAGGGCAGTGATACTCAGTTTGTTTAGCCTTTGGGCAACTTTTGCAAAATGACAGGAGTCCAGGGGCCAGTTAATAAACAATAATAATCACTAGATAAAATGAATAACCATTAAAAGGCCCCTAAATCATCTTTAATAGTATTTGTCTCCGAGGGACAATGACTGAACATTTACTACACAAACAATCCAAAAAATCCCAGCGTGAGGAGGGTTTTTTTCATTTTTAATTCGAAGATTTTGATGTGTAAGTTGGCTACAAGCATCAACCTCGCGTGCTGAGCAATGATGCTAATGCAAAAGTACCAAAAACTGCAGTACCTCGAATGCCCATTGGAGGCTGCCTCCATACATGTATCAGTCCTCGTAGACTCTCTTTAAATGATCAGTGTTACAGCAGGAATACACACATTTACAGCCTGGTATGAAAAACAGTTTTGATCTGTACAGTTAATATCCCCGTTTGTGGTCAACTGTATGCTGGTGAATTTTTATATATAACTCACCCATTTAAATTGTATTAAGGCTTAAAGTTATGCATAATTTAAAGTATGGCCGCTTTGAGTGACAGGCGGGTTCCATCACTGGACAGCTCGTGGTCCAGAAATCTGTGCAGGGTCCTTCTTAGCTCCACTCTCGCACTTCTACTTTTGTCATTTTTGGATTAGTCGGGAGTTAGGAGGAGTCGGGTTGTGCCAAGATGGTAGCAGTCACAGTCACGACACTTTGCATCAAAACTGCTGTCAAGGGTCGACTGTCTGAAATGTTTTAACAACAGCATAAAATTTTATGGAGAGATTCATGGTCCCCAGAAGATGAAACACTTGGTGATCATCGGACTCTAGCACCACTATAAAGTTGACATTTGTTGTTTTAAATGAAATATCAGCAGTTTTTGAATGCATGGCCGTGAAATTAAGCATAGACCACCACGGCGATCCCTTCTTTTAGACAAAATACGTGCACAACATTCCTATCGAACTCAGCTTTAGTTTGCAAATGTTAGCATGCTGTCTTACCAAAGTATGACGCTGAACATGCTAAGATAAAGATAAGATAAAGAGACTTTATTGTCATTGTGCAGGAGTACAACGAAACTTGTGTGGAAGAACACGACAATAGCAGCAAGAAATAAAAATAAAAAACATTATACTAGCATGATTGCCAGTATTTTAGCATGTTCATGTTTGCATTCAGTGCCGCTTTGCATGGCTTGTGTGTTAGTTTACATTAGATCTCATTACATCATCTTAATGCTAACAACATTTTAAAAAATGGTCTGAATAGCGATACGGGATTTAACAGAATTCATGCTCTCCAACTTATTTACGCAATCTAGTTAATAAGTGTTCCTCTGCATGAAAAGTAAGTTCATGCTACAGTTGAACTACATGGGTTTGAATTAGCTGTGTGATACTGAACTGCTGTTTCTTTTTCACTTCACTATTTATTATTCACTAAAACAAAAAACGTAGATGTGGGAAGCAAATCAGAGACATTTAATCAGACTGATGCTAAAGGGAAAGTAGTCCACTTCTTTTTTTTTTAGTGATTTAGGGGTCACACAACCTATCCCAGTGTCCAAAATGCCAAAGGTATTTTGTTTTTAAGCAATCAGGATTTCAGCTTTGACCTTTGCCAAGGGCATCTGTGGGTTTATTAAGGGGATGTTATTCAGCTCAACACACTTGAGTGCAAAAACCTGATTCTAAAGCTCTTTCATTGTCAAAAGCCAGTTTCCACTGTATTCTGGAAGTGCAGCGAGAACCTTTTGTGCGTGAAAAGCCACATTGTGCTCAGATACAAGTAAAAAACAATGCTAACCCCGTGTGGGTGAATGGAGGCAGGGTTCGGCACGTGCCTGTGTGTGTTTTCGCACTCTCGCCTCACTCTTCCTGGCGGGTTCACACCTCTTTCTTTGAGATATTTTCGTGTCACATCACAACAGGCCAAATGAAGTGGAGGGTGGCAGCAGCTCGGGTCACGGTGCTGGGAAACCGAGGCTGCGAACCGGCGAGAGGAAAAATACTTTGACAGCTCAGGCAGAGGAGACAGATGTTAGCGAGTGAAAACAAGGATGCCTAAAGCGTTTGGCTTTGTCAATGACGAAGCTTAACGATGAAACATATCTAGAGAGTGGAAATGACTGAAGAGCTTCAATTTAAACATCCATCATATTTTATGCCTGTGAGAAATTTTGTATGCCTCATGCCAAAGTCAGCACCATCTGCAGCCAAATATTTATGACAGAAATGGATCCTGAAGTTTCTGCCCTCCGTGTACCCCGAAATGGAACGATTTGCTGTCCTTTCTGATTCATTTGATATGGTCTCTGGCGAGTCTGTGTCTGCTTATAAGGACAAGGGCATCTGCTGCAAAATCCACCTCCAGAGGGGGGAAGCTTCTCTCCAAATTCTCTTTAAAAGCTGCAAATCACTTCAGCTGCAACCAGCGAGAATAGAACAGTTTAGTGTATAATTCCAGTGGGAACTCCGTGAGCAAATAGCTCGCTGTTCATTAGGATAAAATCCTGTACCAGCCTTATTGATGCAATGAGATTATTTAATCTACATTACATTGCATAACAATCATTAGGCAGAATTTCATACATTCATAGTGATCACATTTAGAGCAATCTGGAGGCTTGGAGTCTTTCTGAAGGACATTTTGACACATAAATACCCTCGAATTGAATCATGCATATGTTTAGATTTTTACAATAGTACTCACAAATGTTTTTATTTATCATTATTCCACTGATTATTTTATCGATTAATCTTTTGATTTAGTATGAGTTACAAAATATAAATATTTCTCCCAAAATGTTGATTTTAAATCATTTTTTGTGTCCTAACATCAATAATTTGTTGCTTTTTTAGCCATTAGCCACCTCCCTCAATTGTTTTCCTTTATCTTTACAATTATAAATATTGGCATTAGTATAAAGATGTTTGAAGGGAGCAAGCAAGCATCCGTCCCATGAAAGCACCCTTGAGCAAAAAGTTCAAACCCCGCAAACGCCACCGGTAGTGACATTTTTCACTATTCCATTAACCTGCCTTCCCCCTGAAAGACACGAGCAACAGGATGGTTTTCCTCATGGGGATGATAAGATGTCACAAACGTCTATTAATAATTGGTAAGATCCCGAATGAGAAGCATCTGTACGCCCTCTCTCTTTGAAGAAAGTAGCATGCCACATTAAAATTAAGCATCGTCAGCCTGAATGCTCTCGCAGCAGATAACTTTACTGTGTCATGTTTTTTCTTTTCAAAGTGCATCTCTGTGCCACAGAGAGCTCGAGGGAGGAGGCCTTCCTTATACATTCTTTAAGATACTCCTTTTGTCTTCTCGCTTTATATCTGCCTTTGCCTTCACTGACATCTGTCTGTCTTAGGTGTGTTGTATTCGGAGGTGCGTCGGCCTTGTAGAACCATGATTCTGGTGAACCCTCACAGCGGGCGAGGACAGGCTCTGCAGCTCTTTACCGGCCACATACAGGGCATGCTGACCGAGGCGTCTGTTCCCTACAAACTCGTCCTCACAGGTCAGTATTCGCTCATGAACATGTTTTCCTCATGCATTTAGCCGGCTCTCTTCTCAGGGTCACCTTCATGTATAATAGGGATTAAAGCTTTGACCCCCATCGCCGGATGATCAATCTGACAACTGGGTCATTTTGCCAATTCGCACGCACACACACTAAAGTTGGTGTCACTGCACTCTGCGCCGACTTTCAATCTCTGCAGGAATTACACATGGTTTGTGCGATCGCAAATTCACGAGGCCACAAGTTCATGCACATCTGCAGGCACTCGAGCACGTGCGCGCATTAAATTCTCATCTCAGTCGTCCCAGCTGCTCCGCATTCTGGATGAGCTACTGGTGCCTTTTTGTGACCTTAAACAGCGTTGTGTTGGTGACTGTCATCAGAGACTCTCAGTGACCTCGCTCTGAATACCAAGGAGCTGCTGGGGGGAAAAAAGGGAAAGACTTTAATCTGACAAACAAAAATAACCCATGCACATTAGGGGTGGAACAAAATACAGATATATGATATAGATTTCTCTAATTATACGTTAGTGACACTTTGACACTAAATACAAAACCTTTTATGAAAACATGCAGGCGCTCTGAATGGATTTTCATGTCAGATTTTTAACCTGTCAGAGTCACTGCTTCATGACTACTCGTGGTGGCCCTTAAATAAATGAAGGTAAAGTTCGCAAACCTGCAAAGAAACTCCAAGGTAACAGACAGGGGAAGGCGAATTAGAAAGCTAATTAATTAAATTGACACATTATTAAAATTAGAGCCGGGCGGATTTATCAGCCCGCTAATTTTATCAGCTGATTTACGGCTATCAGTTAGGATCCGTCAGGTAGGATTACCAAAATTATTTCTATTTGCCAGAATAATGAAAGAGAGAGTTTTTTTTAGAGATTTTATTTTTTTTTACTGCTTTCTTCAAAGTCAGAAGTTTACATACACTAAGATTGCTTTGCCTTCAAACTATTTGGGAAAGCCCAGATGATGATGTCATGACTTTGGCAGCTTTTGATTGGTTAATTGACAACATCTGAGTTAATTGGAGGCACACCTGTGGATGTATTTTAAGGCACATCTCAAACACTCTGCTTCCATTTGTGACAACATGGAAAATCTAAAGAAATCAGCCAAGATATCAGGGAGAGAACTGTGGACGTCCACAGGTCTGGTTCATCCTTGGGTACAATTTCCAGATGCCTGAAGGTTCCACGTTCATCTGTTCAAACAGTTATACACAAGTATAAACACCATGGGAATGTCCAGGCATCTTCCCAAATAGTTTGAAGGTGCAGTAATCTCAGTGTGAAGAAAGTAATAAAAAAATTCTCTCTCTCATTATTCTGGCATTTAGTAAATGGAGCGAATTTTGGTCCTCCTAATTGACCCAAAACAAGAAAAGGTTAGTCACATTTAATGTCAGATAGTAAAAAAAAAAAGGTTCTATGTCATTTTATATAGTGTATGTAAACTTCTGATTTCAACTTCTACTACTATCTCTATATATAAATGTTCATTTTAAAAGGAGGTAATGCAGGTAAAGATGCTCAGGATAATTTAAAGGTGGTGTCATCATATAGTTGGTTCAGTAAAGTTCCAGTAAACTGTGCAGCACATGTAGCAGATGGTGCGGAGTAAAGTGGAGTCTTCACGATATGCTGTTAACTAGTTTGTTAAATACATTGCTAGAAAATTAATAAACAATAACCCCATAATGAACCACAAGTTACTGTCCGTGACCGTTTTACACTGAAATCTGAATTTTGAAGCAAAAGAAAACTTGTCTAATTCGAATTAAATCCACTGAAATAATGTTATGAATATGTCGCATGGAGAATGAAGCACATAAGACATTTTGTTAAATATTTCAGTTATGTTACTTTGAATATGCCTAAACATAGAGGAAAATTCATCACTAGTGAACATTAAGCTAATTAGAATAGAATATGGAGTATAACATGCAGTGCAAGTGAAGTAGTTTGGTTACAGCTCATATATTAGTTCTACTACAACTGAATAGTAACGATAATGTAACGTATTGACTATCACAGAATCGCAGTGTCAGAATCATGTAGCTTCGTATTTGATTTGTGCTGTGAAACAAAAAGTCACAAAGTAAAAGGATCCATTAGAGTGATTTATTGCAAAAAAAACAAAACAAAGCAAAAAACATACACACGCCTTCCTAAGACGGACAAAAGGTATAAAATTGTCGTCCATATTTTAGGATATTTTAAATTTGTCTCACATCCCCCTTCTTCCAGCAAGAAAAATGGTGGGGGTCAGTTATTCTGGGTTTTACTGATTCCTTTTGATAGATCTTTTTTTCAAGGCAAACTGCAGCTTCACAGAATATTATATATGTGCGAACTTGTCTGCCTTTCTTCCTCCCTAAAACTGGGCTCTTTGATTTACATCCGCGAGAGAGTCCAGATAAGACCTCCTCTGCACACCGAGGCACCAAGGTCAGGCTAACCTCCTACCGCAAACTGAAAGTGAACAAGAAAACAAACTTTCACATGATGTAGCACCCAGTAAATATGTAAAATACAGAAAAGAGAAGCATAAGTAGTAAAAATTTCCATGTCAGAGAGTGTCAGCGATGCACAATCTTTAACTTTCCCCCTCCTTCCACCCCAGCCCTGTTTGACAGAATCTCCATTTTGACAAGTAAGAATTGGCTCTGGCTTTCAGTATCAGCTTGAAAGTACACAGCTGAATCTCTGCTACAGCTCAAAGCGAGATGTATCATGACAGCAAAGGCAGAGAAAGAAGGGAGAAACTGTGTTTGTGTCTGTTTTTTTTTGTTTTTGTTTTTTTGTATTTGGGTACGAGTACCGATGTGCATGTGGGCTCTTTGTGCAGACTCCTGGGACTAAAAGGAAGGTCAGATCAGCAGCTGGATGGTGATGAAAAAAGACAGAGTAATTACTGATGTCAACACAGAATAGAACCGGCATGATGGAGGGAGAATGTGGGTCAGTAAAGGGCCCTGTGTGGTCAGATACAGTCAGATGTGACTATGAGTCCACTTAAACGGCACGCAGCTCCTTGATGACTGTATCACACTGCCTTTGCCTGAGGAAGGACAAGTACCAATGGAGGCGCCTCTTGTGTCAGCATGTACCTTTTACATACTGTATGAAGCATCCAGTGTACCAAGTTTAATCCTTACCCGGGCTAACCTCAGAAGGTGGCAGCAGAGGGTGACATGACGTGGGGAAAGTGGAGCAAAGCTGGAATTTACCCAAGATTTTGCGTTTACGGATTGTGTCGAAAACCATAAACTGCCCTCATCTCCGGGGTTTAGCTCAACGTTCGTGCTTGCTGGTGACCCCCTGAATAAGGAAGTGGCTGGGAAGTAAAGCACCAGCAAAGTGCTGAGTCAGCCGTGCAAGCGCAGTTACTCCCTCTGCCTGGGTCTGTCAACACAGCACTGCATCAACGCCTCCAGCTTTTCCACAGCAAACAAACAGCGGCAACATTGTGGGAGGGGGGAAGCACCGGTGGTAAGGAGAGGCCCCGGGAGAGGCCACTGGGACAGGTAGAGGTTGAGCAAAGTGAAAGGGGAAGTTTTCACTGTGTCGATCGATATTTGTGCAGAAACTGTTCCCATCATGGTGGCAGTGAATCAGTGCTTGTTAAAACTCCCTCTCCCTCTGTAAAGCTGTTTCCCGTCTCCACAACCACATGACTGCACCGGGGAGTCTCGGCTGGCAGGGCTGCAGACTTTAATGCTGGCGGGATGAGCCCACTGAGACCCCCTGCAGAGGGACCCGCTACTCAAGGATGCTGCCAATAAAACTGGGCTGAACAAATAGCTCACTCCGCTGCCAGCGCATTAACCAACACTCGCACGTACACACACACACGCAGATATTTGTCAGTCACAGATGTTTGCAGGCCCGGCTAAGCTGCCTCGGAGCTGTTGAGTAGCCACTGGATGGTCTAATGTGATACGTCTGGCCTGATAAGGGGAAATTGAATCTCTTTTCAGCCTAATCTCCCTGATCCCACCCCAGAGGCTGGCGATGAAGGGAGCGTGTCTCTTTCTCTGCCCTTGCCCTTGTTTTTATTTTTGTCAGTTTTGTCCCCCACACTTTGCCAAATTTTCTGCTTTATCTTTTGGTTTTTCTGTCATGTGTCCTGCAGAGCACCAGAACCATGCGCGGGAGCTGGTGAAGAAGGCCGACCTGTCGCAGTGGGACGCACTGGTTATCATGTCTGGAGATGGGCTGCTGTTTGAGGTGCTTCGACTTTCACCCAACCCAATCAATCCATCAATCAAAAATCAGCCTCCAAAGCCCTGTTTCTATTCTCAGCGCTTCTTAGAATAGGCCTGTACAAAATGGAATTGTTCTCAAATGTGCCAAAAAAGCTCAGGTACTGTGACTCTAGCACCAGAAATCACCAGTCATTGATTAATAGCCTTCTTTTTATTCTGTATATGCTTCACTTCACGTACAACAATGATGGACAACAGTGTTTTGTTGCCTTTCTGCTCAGCGCTGTACTGTACATGAGAAATAATAAATCTTCTGCCATGTTGCCTTCAGCTTCCCAGGCAATGTCACACTTGACACAGAACACCTTTTATCAAGGCGTTTCCTCATACACAGATGCTACTTTCTATTTAGGAACATGATCTGATTCTGTTTTTGGGTTTGTTCTTGTTTATTCAGGTGATAAATGGTCTGATGGACCGAGAGGATTGGCAAGAGGCCATCCAGACCCCTCTGGGGATTCTACCAGGTGGCTCCGGCAATGCCCTGGCTGCGTCCGTCCACCACTACTCACAGTGAGTCAATCCATTAATGAGTCATTTAAATGCATGGGCTAACAGTGCAAAAGATGAACCTTCTTCAGCCAAAAAAAGGACAATTTATCTCCTTTCTGTGTAATTATACCAAAGGCTGACTGGGCACATCATTCCTCAGGAGGCAGGAGAGACTAGAACTGTTTTGCCGTGCAGCGAGAGGTCATTTCAGGTTGATGAAACTCTCAGAGGAGTGATGTAATGGGTTTAGAAAACTCGCACATTATGAGTGATTATAGTTGAGAGTGCAGCTGTGGAACAGGGCATCTCAGCAGTTGTCCAGGGTATCATCTCCATCTGCTGGCTGGCTGTTGGCACAACATCAAAACAGGCAAAGCGGAACATAGACAGGTGAGCGAAAACATTATGACTACCTGCCTAATAAGCTGTTGGGAATTCGCCAGAACAGCTCCAACCCACTGACGTCTGGAGGGTCTGTTGGTACGGCACCAAAGCTTCAACACTTTAGAAGAAGATCTTTCAAGTCGTAAAGCTTCTGCAGATCAATCTTATTCCAGGACGTCCAGCAACATCCGGTCACCAGTTAATGGTTTTGTCAAAGTCACTTAAGTCTTGCCCGCCCACCTCTCACATTGACTAGTGGCTGTTTGCTAAGTGTTTAACATATCCCAAACCTTCACATATGCTGTTCTTACAATATAATCAGCATTATTCACTTCATGTGTAGGTGATTTTAGTGGTTTGTGTTATTGCTTGTTACTGATTTTCTTTGACAAGCTGCAGCTGTGGTCAGGACCGTATTTAAAATAGTAAATGTCTATCCAGGCTAGATTCCCATTGGGACCATCTTCTTGTTCAGTGTCTTACCCAAGGACACTTCAGGACGTAAAGGTGGATGGAACTACCAGCCTTGCAAAAGTGGACAACACGCTCTGCCACCAATGTCAATCTATTTTAAAGGGTAATCTTAATGCAGAATCCACTTACTAGCTTTTTGGGGAGCTTTTCTGCTGCTTGTCGAATCATGGAGATGGTCTAGTTGTAGATATCCGCTTGTTCTTTGCCTGAACAATACACCAACAGCCTTTCACACCAATGTAAAACATTTGTATAATCTTTGTGAGTGGTGTGAAAGTTAATTAAAAACTTGCTTCATCCTAAAATCCTTCACATTTAATTAACTTTCTATACTTTTAAGAAGTCTTAGCTGTAAGTGATAGAAGGTAAGCTGCACTTCAGGGAGGCTCACAAATTTTGAATGAAACTCGCAGTTAAGTCAAAGATGAGTATATTTAGGTTAGAAAAGTTTTTAGTTGTTGTATTATTTTGATTTTTTGTTTTTTTTTACATGATAGTTGCGTGCTCAGTCAGTATGTGCTTGAGTTGACATTTGTAGTTGTGAAATGTGAAATTGTAGTTTGTGTGAAGTTTGACTGAGACACTAATTTCCACTTTAAGTTTGGTTTGTGACCAAATACCTGCAAAACTAAAGACATACGGCTAGCCTCAGTCCGACTTTGCATTTACAGGTAAATTTTCCACGCTACGCAACACATTAAACAAAGATGGCAAATAGGCTGTTCCTGCTAATTATCAACGTTAGCAGTGATTGTGAGCATGTTAGCATGCTGATGTTAGCATTTGGCTCAAGTATAACCTCACTGAGCTGCTAGCATGTAAATGTAGACTCTTCAGTATGAACAGAAATTGCGTAGGGTGACATGGTTAAAATCTGCTGATTCCTGTTGGTATTATTCCACAACAGTAAATCATAGCATAGCGCTCTCATATGATGTTGATGCTGCCATTGCTTCTAGTTCTTGATTTCTGTATCAACCCCTCAGGTCACCTCCAGCGTGGAATGAAGAGCTTCTATTGAGCTGTGGCTTCATGCTGTGCAAAGGTCTGGTTGGCTCCATGGACCTGGTGTCGATCCATTTGGCCTCTAGGCAGCGACTCTTCTCCTTCCTCTCCATAGCTTGGGGCTTTGTGGCAGATGTCGATATTGAGAGCGAGAAGTACCGCCACGTCGGAGCTATCCGCTTCCTGATGGGCACCCTGGTGCGTCTGGCCACGCTCCGAGTATACCAGGGCAGGTTAGCTTACCTGCCTGTTAAGGAAGCACCGAAGCATCCAAAAGGGAGCATCAAATCAAACCAGCCACCCTCCACGCCTCAGCACCCCTCGCTCTGCTCCTCCCTTCCCTGCCGGCTCATCCCCAACGCCTCTCCGAACCAGAGCTCTCGTCACAACTGCAACAGCACGAACTCCAACCATAACACGATCACCAACTCCTCCAACAACGCCATCACCACCAAGAGACCTGAGACGCAGAGCGACGGCAAAACCGGAGCCCCTGTGGACTCTCTGCTTCCTGGCCTGGACCAGCCAGTCCCAGAGAGCTGGACAGTGGTCAAGGAGGAGGACTTTGTCTTGGTGCTGGCTATTTACCAGTCGCACCTGGCCGAGGACCTGTGGACTGTCCCCGGTGCGATGGCAGACGATGGGGTGATTCATTTGTTCTACGTGACAGCTGGAATCTCCCGACCCGCCCTCCTGCGCCTCTTCCTCGCCATGGAGAAGGGCGCCCACTTGGCTTGCGACTGCCCTCACCTGGTGTACGAGAAGGTGAGGGCCCTGCGGCTGGAGCCCATCTCTCCACAGGGCATGATCACTGTGGACGGAGAGATGGTGGAGTACGGGCCGGTTCAGGCTCAAATCCACCCAGGACTGGCCAAACTCATATGTGGATGAACTCGGATTATCTTAATCTTTTTATGGCTACATAGCTTTGTAGTTTGGCCTTTTATACTCAGTGTCAATTCCTTTATGTATGCTGTGTTTTCAGAAGTGCCAAAGACGTTTTATCAGCCTCTGGAATTTCCTCTATTTTTCTACAAAATAACAACTTGTCCGATTTTTACGTCCCCTCTTTCTCTCAATGTTTGATTCAGGGTCAAAGCCATGGATGGTTGTTCTTGCTGCTGGCTGGTCCAGGCTTAGAGAAACGGGGAGGGATTGTGTATATGTGTGTGTGTGTGTGTGTGTGTGTGTGTGTGTGTGTGCGCATAAGAAAGAGAGAGATCTTTATGTATGTTTGCGTGCACTCGAGTGTGTGTATACGTGTGAGATTGTGCACGAGGGGCTTCGGCTGGTGCGGTGGCCGAGGAGTGCATTGTGCACTCCGCTGTCGGAGCTCATAAGCGCGGCACACGTGAAGAGAAGCACATTTCCCGTCCTTGGAGGGCTCCTGGAGAAACCACGCCCCTTGTCCCACTGTACTACACCAGGGCTGACAATCCAAGTCTCTCTGACAGCATCGCCTCCCCCCCCCTCTTCAGTCTAGGAATAAAAAATAAAAAAAAAGGAGCTTTCTTACTGAGGAGATATAAATCCCCTGGGGATTTAGCGTCGACAGATCTTTAATCTTCACATATAAAAACTCAGAACAATACCAGATCTTGTCATATTAAGTCCTAGCAACCCCTCCTCCTCTTGGAAACTTCCGTCAGCTGATAATGCATGAAGTGCTGGCGAGGCAGACAGAAACCTGGCCAGCTGGGGTTACACCTCCACCGCCGGCCTCGATGCATTTCCCGTCCTGTTTCATCTGCAGCCATCATTAAACTGTAGGAACTGCCTCCACTCACATGCACATATACACACTTTCTTTTTCCCCCATCCCCCCCCTTGTCTTATGCACAGATCCTCACACACACACACACACACACACACACACACACACACACACACACATTCCCTTGCATCTCTGCAGCACTTAGCGAGGGGGAGGTGCATGGTCTGCTACTGTGCATATGATCCCCTCTCCTCCCGCCATCATCTTAAGATTGTACTCTCTCTCTCCCTCCCTCGGTTAACGAGCCATCAGCACCTAATGTGTCCTTAATATGAAGCTTTACATCTGTAAAAGCGTGCTAAATAGAGAGTCTTTTTTTTTTTTTTTTTTTTAATCGTATGAAAGCTTTTAAGTGGATTTCAAACACATGAGACTGGTCGAAGCGCACTAAAGTGGAGGGCGCAGGGGGCTTCGATACTGTGTCAGTTGGTGTTGCATATTGAGAGACATGCGATCAATGCGAGCAAAGAGGGAGTCAAGTGCTTTGCTCTGCTGTGTGGCCTTTTTTTTTTTTTTTTTTTTTCTCGGTGGCTGTTTGGTGCTGTGGTGATGAGAGTTAGTGCACCAGAGCAGAGCAGAGTGCAAATGTTAGCATTATCATCAGTGGCCCCCTTCACACTTTTATACACACATGTTGTAAACACACAGTTTATTTCAGGTCACGCACCAGAACTGTTCAGCTACAGGAGAGGAGTTATGATCGCATTTAAACAGCCAAGGTTTCTCTCCTGATCTTAAAAAAAAAAAAAAACAGTTCATAAATTAAAGAAATAAACCAGAAAATGTCAACAGGATCAGATCATACCGTACGAATGCTGGTGCATCCGCAAAAACGAAATCACCCGTAATGCTGAAAGTGAAAACTAGAATGTTGAAAGAAGTGCTGGTTGTCAGCTCTTTAAGGTTTTGATGAATACATCACAGTCATCCTGAGTGCAATACAGTCAATGCAACGAGCTGATAGCGCACATCGTCTTCTGCTGCTTTTACTGGAACCACAAGTGACTGGCTTCCAATCGAAGGAGCACAAACAGAGCTGTTGTTTTTAAAACAGAATGCAAACGTAGTTTTTAGGGACTGTACAAAAATTATTAGTGTGTGGTGGTGATCAACATGGAGGCTCCTGGAGTCCCTAAATCTCTTAAATAGAACGACATACAAACTGGTGCTGCATTTTTTTTTATTATTTTTTAAAATGAAATCCGCTCGTTAGTGAATAAACCAAAAAAATTCCATGATGGATCTGGATCTCGGCATGCTTCCGCAATATTGGTTCCGTAGCATATTAGTGTTAACATCCAGGAATGGGATGAAATTTAACAATCTTGCATCTCTTCTAGACTAGAATGTTGCTGGACTGAGTGGAACAAATTCAGATTTTGCAGGATTTGTGATGTTCGGAGAAATTTTGTTTTGCCCCGATGATTGCATGTGGAAAAAGGAAAATGTTTAAATCAATGTGCATCATGTCATTTAGCCAGTAGATCGAAAAATAAACTGTTGTTTTTGCATGTTTTAAATAAACAAAAACAAAAAACGAAGACTTTTTACAGATAGTACAAAATCTAAAATTCCAATTGGTCAGATGAATTTGCTCCATATTGCTGAGCCTAGCAACACATTGCTTCTGCTGCTGGTAAAAATAACAGGCGCTCTGGAGAGACGGTGATTAGTCAGTCGCTATTAACTACGTATCGAGATGCACATCATTGTGCTTCTTAAACAAATTAGCCCTGTAGCTGCTACTTGATTGTGTTGAGAAAAATGAAGCTCCAAAGACAAAAACAGAACTGCTGCCCTGCATTTGAGGCAGAATGAACCTTTAAGACTTGTGTCGCACGGCAGAGCCATCTTTTATTTAACCTTTCTTTTTTATTATTGTTATAATCATGAAAATGATTTATGTAAATAATCTCATAAATGAAAAAAAGTACAAAATCAGAACCCATCTTCTAAATATTGTGTTCCTATACAACTAAACTGCATTCTTATATATGCTTTAAGGGCATTTTCTTCCTTATTATGTTTGTTTGTGACGTATCACAAATGCATCTCTAATCAACATGTTTCCCTTTTATTTTATTGCCTTTTTGCGGCCAATTTTCTGCCAACAAATTATATATTAAACCCTTAATCAAAGGGTGGAAAGGAGAAGAAATGAACCCCCACATTTCTTTCAAAACATAAATAAGAATGCACTTTAGTTTGTAACGGTCATTTTAGTGAAATGGTGTATAAAAAAATAAAGGATGAGCCAAAATTAGAACTAGAAAATTAAAATAAGACCCTATTTTTTTGCCAAAAAAAACCCAAAAAACCCCTCCCCCTTTCTGGAACCCCTCTCCCTAATAATTTTTGTACGGTCCCTTAATGAACTGTAATGTACTTGAAGTTGACTTATCGTGTAAATTTGGGTTTCCGTCTTCACTGCAGTGCCGATTTTTTTCCTTGTGACTTGATTTTACATTTCCATATACTGTAACATGGTCAAAGCTACAACTCATGTCCGACACACTGTACCTTCTACCATTACCGTATCCTCAGCGAAGTTATCCAGGTGCTCTGAATGCTTTTTCATGTTCGCCCTGAAACCGCGGCCACCCACATGCGCTGGTCATTACTAAACGTACAGAGTCCATCTCACCAGGGTCGAGATGAGCTATGCAAATGCCTTGTCATGGCTGCAGATAATACTCGGAGTGTGGGTTCCCTCTGCTGGATTGAACACGGAGTGAAGGGGTTTATCTTGAAAACGCATCCTTATACAATGTAATCCCTGCTTTTTTTTACATTTGCAGTAATAATGATCATGAATGGATTAGTGTCGCAACAAGCTGAGGACATTTGCATTCTTCGTGGACATCCAGCTTATTGTAATTCATCATCGGAGAAATTTACTTGATTCTTGCACAGCTGCATCTCTGTTCCACTGCTGTTAACTTATGGTACTATACTGTTAAACTTGTTGTCCTCTCACCGGCTGCTTTGATGTGACAGCAGCTTTTTACAAACACAAATATTGTATTCGTCAATACTGTTGCAGCATTTTATAAATGATTTAAGAAGACTATGAACTGAAATTGTAAAAACCTCATTATGAGAATTTTTTAAAATGCTTTTAGAAACTGAATATGTTCTGCTTTCGGTACCATGTACACTACGCTTAACTCAAAACTCTCTTGTGTCTTGCTCTTGTATCCACATTTATCAAAAAGCCCAAAATATTGCTATGATTTACATGAAGTGGCAAATGTTTTATTCTTTTTGTTAGGGGGGGTTATGTGGTGATATAAACTGGCTTCTAGTGCAGTAGATCCACATGGTGTGGCTGAATGTGTCATACTTTTCTTGTTAGTGACAAAAAAACAACAACAACAAAAAAAGCAGCTTTACAAGTGAATATAAGAAAAGACGTTTCTCTAGAAAGTGCCTTAGTCTTTATCTGAGACAGCAGTGATGTGTGCACAGAGAAAATAAAATACTGGTGATCTTCGAGAAACAAATTCTTTGCCACATGAAATGGCGTCAGCTTTGTGAAGGAGTGTTTTTTCCTGCTTCAGGCTCTGATCTGCATTTACAGACGCAAAGCGGACATGTGGAGGGGAGTTTAAATCTTCAACTTCCACATAAAGTTATTACATTCATTGAACTGGCTGATGACAGCCAGACGTTCATCATCTCCTTTTATTTTCTTGTAATTCTTTGTTTGTGGACTTCTTTTTTTTAAAAGACTAATAAACATATTCATATAGAAATAAGCGATTCTTGGTTGTTCTTCTTTTCATTTAATTGGTGTTTAAGATGATTTTGTTCAGACAGATTGTTATGTTCCAAAAATAGGTTAAAGCTAAAAAGCTGAGATTTAAACGAGGCCTGAAAACAGGAGACTTTTAAAAACCAACCAAAAAATGTGGAGTTTTGTCAGAAACTGTTACATCATGTAAGATGAATGTGAGTTTTACTGCTGAAAAATTCAAACAGTAATCAAGTGTTCTCTCTTGTTTAGCTATTGTCACCTGGTGAAATGTGAGGAACGTTTGAGACGACTGACTCGGGAGGTTTTAAGGATTCTCTTTATTTCATGACAGTTCAAAGTGCTTCAGCATCCGACTTTGAC